CGCTCACAAGCAGATGGGCACAACGAGGCGTGCCAGGACTCGAAGACGCCTACGGCGAATCACCGCCGCCCCCTGCCTTTCTGGGAGCGCCTATGTGGCCGAACGTTGAGGCCAGACCTGCCAAGCTATCGGACCATGTGTACCCCGAATCGGTTTGGAAAGCCTTCGGGGAACACGTGGGCATCTCGAAGGCCATCTTGGCCGCTTGGAGGCCATTTTGACCCTTTCGGGCTTTCTTGGAGGGTCTTGGAGGGCTCTTGTGCAGTCTTGGAGGCCATCTTGAGCGCCTTGGAGGCCTCTTGGGCCGTCTTGGGGGCCTCTTGTTGCCGTCTTGGACTTCTTGGGCGATTCTGGGGAGGGGGGGGGGGACTTGGGCCGTTTCGGGCCGTCGGAAGGCAAACAAAAAGGGCAAGTGCCACAATCCTTCAAACACTCATGGAAAAGCAAGGCTCTTGGCCTCTTCGGGCCCTCCTGGAGGACCTCCTGGAGGCCCCTTGGGCCGTCTTAGAGCCCTCTGGGGGCCTCTTGGACAGTCTTGGGCTGTCTTGGACTCTCCTGGGCCGTCTTGGAGGCCGTCTTGGACCATCTTGGGCGGACTTGGAGGCAGTCGGAGGCCATCTTGGAGGCCATCTTGGACCAACGTCGGAAGCACGAAAACTCGAGAACGCGAACAACAGTGAAACACACACACACACAAGGCACATACGTGTTTTTGTGTATCTTGGGGGCCTCTTGGAGGTCCTCTTGGAGCGCACTTGGGGATTATGTGGGGCCTTTTGGGCCGTCTTGCGGCCATCTTGGGCGTCTTGGAGCGCTCATGGGCTGCCTTGGAGGCCTCTCGGACCCTCTTGGGCGTTTCTTGGGACCCTTTTGGCCTGGTTTAGGGCCGTCGGGTGAATCCAGCATGAGCAACGGGTGCGTATGCTCTGAGTGAAGTCAACAGAGCGGCGCTCTGCTGATGAGAGGAGGGGCAGTGAACGCGCACATGCGCTGAGGCCAATTAGCAGAGCGGCGCTCTGCTAATCAGAGCCCGAGCAGGATTGGGAACACTTGCTTGATTGAGACCAATTGGCAGGGCAGCGCTCTGCCAATGAGGGGAGGGGCAGCGAGTGCGTCTGCTTTGGAGCTAAGTCGCAGATCGCCGCTCTGCGAATGAGAGCCCGAGCAGTCCGAGAACGTGGGGCCCCAGCCTCTCGATACCAGAATCCAGGACTCGGGACAGAGAACACATGCGAGCCTGGGGAAAAACTTCCCTCGCGCCTCGCGTCACGGTGGCGGATATAAGGTGCATACATGGGGATATCCCTCTCGAGTTTGTGTTTTTGTACTCTCTCTCTCTCTGTGTGTATGTGTGTGTTCGGGCAGCTCGGCACAGCACCCCTCACTTGAGCGCGAGGAGGGGAACGCCCGCAGCAAACATATGTACACCGAAGCCCTCGAGTTGGTTGCTCCTGGGCCTCAGGGGAGGGTGGCGGTGCAAAACAATCACCGCTGGGAGCCAGCGACTTTCTATACCGCCACCCTCCCTGAACGTACATGCAACGTTCCTTCTTCCCTCTCTCTCTCTCCATGTGCAGGCTGCCCTCGCAGGGAGGGGGTCGCCCTCCCGGGAAGGCCTGGGGGGCTCCTCGGAAGTTTTCGTGCTTCCAGGGAAGGCTTTGGCATCGCTCGGACGTGTGCAATGTTCTTCGGCGGGGACCATCGAGACCATCTTGGGCCATCGAAACCATTGAGACCATCGAGACCATCGAGACCATTTCCGTGTGCAGGTTTCTCGGCGGTGACCATCCATTGGGCCATCGTTCGAGAACATGAAAGCACGAAGCCGAAACATGCACGGGCAACGGGCGTCCGAGCGATGGCGATTGGCGGGGGGGCTGCTTAGAAGCTTTCGTACCTCGGCAGCAGCCAGACGACCAGGAGCAACTTGGCCTGGTTCACCGCGGCCAGCTGAGCTCGGCCAGGCTGAAGTCGGCCAGGCTGACATCGGCCAGGCTGCGCTCGGCCAAGATGAGTTCGGCCTGGTCCGAGTTCAGCCTGGCCGAGTCTAGCTGGCCGAGTTCGGCCTGGCCGAGTTTCGCCTGGCCGAGCATTCCACATGCCCCCACTGACAAGTGGTGGTTAGAGTCTGGGCCTCCCAGACAGGGGTCGGAGTAGACGGGGTCGGAGGATCGCGCCGCATCGCCGATGCATCGCCGATGCATCGGCGATGCGGCTCGATGTGGGGCCCACTTTTCTCCACGCCGACGCGTCCGATGCATCGCGGACGTCGCCAGTGCATCGCCCATGCATCGCCGATGCATCGTCGATGCATCGGCGACGTATCGGCGATGTGGCGAGCTCCGTCGATCCCGTCTACTCGGACCCCATCTGGGAGGCCTCCGCTCCCTTGTGAAAGGCACACTCCTTGCTTGTGAGGCCCCCCCCCCCCCCCCCGCCCCGACGCCCCAATCCCCTTGGCACGCCGCCGACCCTCCCTCCCCTCCCCCTCCCCTCCCCTCTCCCCTCCCCCTCCCCTCCCCTCTCCCCCCCCTCCCCTCCCCTCTCCCCTCCCCCACCCCTGCCCCCTCTCCCCTCTCGCCTCCCCCCTCCCCCCCCTCCCCTCTGCCTCCCCCTCCCCTCCCCTCCCCCCTCCCTGCTCTCCCCCTCCTTCCTCCCCTCTCCTCCCTCCCCTCCCCCTCTCTGCAAACGTTTGTTTTTTTACACCGGATTTGTTTCGCTTGTTTATTGTAGTGGCCTTCGGCCAGTGCCGCCGATCCGGGTCGCTCGGGGTTATTCTCCAGACGCAGAAATTATGGGCGCACACTCAAACGCACACACACAGTCACACCACTTAACCTGCGCCGCAGACATGCGCACACAGCATCACCCACACACACATACTAGTTGGGAAACGCTCCTGTAGTACTAGTAGTAGTATTAGTAGTAGTAGTAGTAGTAGTAGTAGTAGCAGTAGTAGTAGTAGTAGTAGTAGTAGTGGTAGTAGTAGTAGTAGTGGTTGTGGTAGTAGTGGTAGTAGTAGTAGAGGCCTCGTTCCGCGGCTTCTCTCGACTTCCCGCGGTCTCTCTCAAGTTTCGAGCACGCGGTGAGTTTCACGATATATGTGTGTGTATGTACGCGTGCATGCATGTATGCATGCATTGATCATGTGTGCCTGTGTGTAGGTACGTATGTATGTATGTATGCTTGTGCGCGTATGTATGTATTTAGTTTGTATGTATGTTTGTATGTGTGTATGATAATATGTGTGTATGTGTGTGAATGTAAGTATGTATGTCTGGAAGATTGTTTTTCTATGTATGCAAATGTGTTTAAATGTAGGTATGTATGCATGTGTGTATGGATGTGCGTTTGAAGAGCGAGGATGTTTCAAAGAAGAGGCACTCGGTGACGCGATCGTTGAGGGATAGGAGTGAGGTCGCAGAGGAGGAGGAGGAGAATGAGGAAGAGGCGATAACTTGAAGGAAAACGATGAGACGGAGGACATCCTGCCGGTGGCGCCCTGGGCGGTGCCGCGGAAGAAACCGGGGGCCTGCCGGAGGCAGTCTGGAGGCCTCTGGGGAGCTGTTTTGGGGCCTCTTGGAACCTCTTTTGGGCCTCTTGTGGGCTTCTTGGGGCCCCTTGGGGGTCTCTTGGGGCCTCCTGGGGGCCTCTTGGGGCGGAAAGCTCGGTTCTTTCGGTTCGTGGTCCCCCTCTTGGGCCCCTCTTGGGGCTCTCTTGGGGCCTTCTTGGGCTGTCCAGAGGCCCTCTTGGGCCGTCTTGGGGCCCTCTTGGGCCGTCTTGGGGCTCTCTTGGGCCGTGTTGGAAGCATCGTGGGCCGTCTTGGGACGGACTTGGGGGCCTCTTGGGCCGTCTTCGAGCGTCGGACGCCCGAAAAGGCAAGAACGCTAAAAACCCTGAAAAAACCAATGAAAATCAACGATTCTGGCCTCTTGGGGCCCTCTGGGGAGGCCTCTTGGAAGCTTCTTGGGGCGTCTTGGAGACACCTTGGGCCGTCTGGAGGCCATCTCGGGCGTCTTGGAGCGATTTTTCGGCGACTCGGGGCCCTCTTGGAACCCCTTGGGGGTCTCTTGGGCCCCCCCCCTCCTCCAAAGCGCCGGAAAAAGCGGAGCATGGCGCCCCCCCCCCCCCTATCTTCCACTCCCCCGGAGCGGCCCCGGGGTTCGCCGGAAACTCGCACCCCCCCCCCCCCACCCCACCCCCCCTTCCCCGGCAGAGCCACCCCGGCGACCCCCCCAGAGGCTGAAGCTCAGCCTCGAGGCTGTAGCTGAGACTCCTTGAAACTCACACGCCGGATCGGCGGATTTTTGAAATTACTAGATATTCCTATGTGTTTTTCACATTGGGTCGTTTCTGGTTCTTCAATATGGTATTCCCGCTGCAGCGCCGCCCTCATTTCCGCGCTTCGGTCATTTAAAATCGTGCTCTCGCTGCAGCGCTGGCCTCGTTCCCGCGCCCCCGGACGGCACTTGGCATTCAGAAGCGCCCACATTGGGCAGGCACGGCTGCGGAGGACATGGAGCCAGCATTCTGGACAGGCTCTGTCCTCTCGTAGATAGGCCGTGTACCCTCCAAGTCATCCGGTTCCAAGCCACGGCATGCAATGCGATGCTGTGTTGAGCACCTCTGTGCGATGCCATGCTTTGCGTTGCTATTCTTTGTGATACAATGCTTCACTACGCAATGCCACGCCATGCTATGACATGCTATGCTCTGCCGTGCTCTTTTACGCCACGCTTTTCTATCCATCGCGTTCCCTCTTGGGATCATTGCTCTGCTTGACATCCGACTGAACAAATATATCGGATATCTACGCCATGGTAAGGGATGGGAGGGAGGGGTAGGACGTCAGATGTGACGCTAGCGCACCTAGCTTGCCCCCTCCCCCTTCCTCTCTCCCCCTCCCCTCCCCTCCCCTCCCCTCCTCTCCCCTCTCTCCCCTCCGCTTTCCTGCCGTTCCAGCCGACGGTCGCCGGGCCCAGCTGCCACGTTTCGCGCAGGTGGTGGAGGGGGCGCCCATCCTGGAGCGCTTCCCTGTGCTCGTGCAGTGCATCAGGCGAGGAGTCCACGCCCAGATGTGGGACTCTCCTCACTTTGTGCTCCACGCCCTGCGGCACAGCACTGGTGGGGCGAGTGCCGTCGTCTCCGTGCTGGGCAGAGGGAGCCAGACGATGGGGAATGAGGGGGTGGATGGGACAGTGCGGGAACGGGATCGATGGAGCGGGATGATGATGATGATGATGATGATGATGAATATGATGAATGATGATGATGATGCATGATGATGATGATGAATGATGATGATGATGATGATGATGATGATGATGATGATGATATGATGATATGATGAATGATGATGAGGAGGAGAAGGAGGAGGAGGAGGAGGGATGATGGAGATGAGGAGGAAGGAGGAGGAGGAGGAAGGAATGATGATGATGGGAGGAGGAGGAGGAGAGGAGAGGAGGAGGAGGAGAGGGAGGAGGAGGAGAATGGAGGAGGAGCAGGAGGAGGAGAGGAGGAGGAAGAGGAGGAGGAAGAGGAGGAGGAATATCGCCTGTGCTGACGGCCTTACCGTATGAGCCTGCAGTGCAACCAGCTTGGCACGGGGAGACCCAAGGAAGAGACATTGCCAACAACGGTGGTCTTGCTTGCAGGGCCAGCCAGACTACAACCGCTTTCCGCAGGTGGTCTTGCTTGCAGGGCCTCTCTGCGCGGACTGCGGAGCGTGAGAGCAGCAGGGCGTTGCGCCCGCGGAGTGGTTCGCGGCGAGTTCGGGGGGGGCCTTCGGAGAGCGCCCGCGCGTGCGCGAGGAGAGACCAGTTCTCATGGCGACAACATCGCAGAGCGGATTCGTTCGGAAAACGATAGGATGGGCCTGGATTGTCCTGGAGAATTTCGTTTCGGATTTCGAGGTGAATTTCGCGCGGATATTTTTGGCCAGGAATGAAGACTAAAAACGATGCACGCGAAATCCACTTCGTTTTTCACTCGCCGTTTCGGGGTTTTGTATTGACGAATCCACGCAGAAATCCTCTGCAGCATGTCTGCAAGGTCGGTGCGGTGACATTTTTGGGAGATCTGCCGGCGTCATCCATTCCCCTCCCGAGTGTTGGCGCAGGGGCCAGAGCGCTCGGGCCTGGGACCGCGGGCTCCCGGTGCCGCCCCCCGCGGAAGAAGACTGCACGGGCAGCGCGGGGTGCCGCAGAGGCCAAACGTCAGCGACCGTGGTCCTGAGCATCCCGCGCCTCGGAGGAGGAAAAGGTAGTACCCATACAGTCGGGGCCCTGAAGAAGGAACCCTTTTCGTTGGGGAGAGGGGCTGCGCGTTCCTTAAGTGTTTCGCAGCTTGCCTCAGGTTTTCCTTATGCTTTCGATCGGAAATCGAAGTTTAACTTATGGAAACAAGGGGCCTCGTTCCCTATTTTGGGTTCCTTAGGTCAAGGCCCCGACTGTACCTCTACCCCCTCGCCCGTTTTCCCCATTTTGGGCCTCCTGGGAGGCCCTCGTCGCTATCGCGGGATCCGCCTCGAGATCCAGGTCGAAACGCACCCCAGGAGAGGTCTGGGGAGTGGCGGCATCGGTACCTTTTGGCGTCCCCAGCGCCAGTTGGCAGAGGTCCCGTGAGGTCCCGAGCCCCGCTTCGCATCGCCACGACCTCTCGGCGCGCCCCGGTGGTTGCCCGCAGCCGGCCCTCCCATCATCTGGTTCCTGCAGTATTTCGTCACGACTTCTACTCGCACGAGTTGTGAGGCCACGGCCTCCTGCGCCATGCCCTAAAGGGCACGGGCACACCAGTGTGCCCGACTCCGGCGCCTTCGCCTTCGCCTTCGCCGACCTTTGGCATCATCTTTGGTGTTCCACTGCCATGGGCCCTGGCTCGAGTGCACCCCGCCGCTGCTGCGCTTTTCCTTGGCCGCAGGAATGGCACGCCCGCGTGATCAGGCGAAGCGTATACCCTCGCTCTCGTCCGGCGCGTGCCTTTGGGCCTGAAAGTTGACGACTGAAATAGGAAAGCGGCTCGCCATCCGTGTCCCCATTCTGCTTTCAATTTCCATGCGGAGTGCGGAGCGTGAGGAAGGCATTGCGCCCGCGGAATGGTTCGCGGCGATTTCTGGGGGTACCCTCGGCGAGCGCCCGCGCGCACGAAGAGAGACCATTTCTGGGAGGTCTCCTGGCGCAGTCAGCCCCCCCCCCCCCGCACCCCCGTACTATATGAGCAGATGTAACATCTGCGGTGTCGTGGTGGAAAGTTTGTGGGGTAAACTATGTGGTGAAGATGACGTCGTGTACGCTCAGCGCGCGGGGAACTCCCGAGGCGCCTCTGAGGCGCCACGGGCGGCAGCGTGGCGCCACTTCGGCATGCTCCCACCAGCGCACGGGGCACCACTGGGGCGGCAGCGTGGCGGCAGCGCGGCGCAGGGCGCCGGGGGCGCTTGCAGGGGGCGCCCACGGGGGGCCCACGGGGCAGCAGCGTGGCGCAAAAACCTCGGCATCCCCGCCCCGAAAGCGCGGGGCTCCGACGGGGCGGCACGGGCGGTACAGCCGCGCGGTATGCCCCCCCCCCCCCCCCCGCGGGCAGGGCGCCCGCGGGGCGGTACGGACGGCAAGGCGTGAACACCCAGAGTGCCCCATCCTCTTTCTCCTCCTCCCTCCCCTCCTCCCTCCTCCTCCTCCTTCTTCCTCCTCCTCCTCCTCCTCCTCCTTCTCCTCCTCCTCCTCCTCCTCCACCTCCTCCTCCTCCTCCGCCTCCTCCCCCCTCCCCTCCCCCCTCCCCCTCCTCCCCCCCTCCCCTCCTCCCCCTCCTCTTCCCTCTCCCCCCCCCTTCCCCCCCCGCCAATTAGCTGACGAAAAGACTTAAGAACCCCTGGGTGCAGGTATTGTTTGGGAACCTCGGAAAATACAGGGGGGGTGCCCGAAACACCGGAAGCAGCAGACAGTTGTCTTCCACGCCCCGCGCCACTGTGCAGACTGCCCGCTCCGAGGCCCTCGTCGCGCCGCCGCGATCTGTCCGGCGCCGTGATGAGGGCCCGCGGCCGGCCTTCCCAGCATCACTGCCGACACCTGCCGTCATCTTTGGTGTCCTTTTGCCGCGAGCTTTCTTTCGAGTGCACCCGCTGGAGCGTTCCCTGTGATCTCAAGGGTGGCGTTTGCACTTGACCATGCGAAGCGGTCCCTTGCACCCATGTTGCGCACGTTTGTATGAACGGCAGCATGGTCTTGACAATTGAATTCAGGAGTCGGACAGTGGCTGTAGTCGGTGCGTATGTAGTTGTGCACATCTTCTTTGGTACGACAAGCAACATCAGTTCTCGCGCGACGCTGGAGTGGAGAACGCACGAACTGATTTTGGAGGAGGGGAGGCACGCGGGGATATCGCATGATTGATGTTTCCAGTTGTGAACATATTCTGTTCCCAGTTGCGCAGACGTGCGGTTGCGCCACTGCGCTTGTGCGGCCGCCTGGGGGGGGGGCCTTGGAAAGGACGGGGGGATCGTCAAGGGAGGTGGCGCGTACGTGTTGTCCGTCCATGGTAGCAACGTGGTCCATGTTTTGGTTCAGGCAGCGCACATTGGGCGACTCCTTGGCAGCTGCTGACGGCGATGGTGATGTCGATGACGATACGATGTGACATGGAATAGGAATGGGTGAGGATAGTTGTGGCGGATGATAGTAGTGAATAATGTGTTTTTTGTTGTATGGCGAAGATGAGAAGGATGGGGGATGATGAGGACGAGTACGGGGATGGTGATGCTGATGCCGATGATGATCCGTATGGCTATGATCGTGGTGTTAATGGTGGTGATGATGTTGCGGATTGTGATGCTGATGACTTCGATGATGGTGATGGTAATGTTAATGATGGCGATGGTGATGGTGATGGTGATGGCGATGGCGATGGTGATGATAGTGGTGGTGGTGATGATGATGATGCTGATGCTGCTGCTGATGATGATGATGATGATGATCATGATTATGATGATGATGATGATGATGATGATGATGATGATGATGATGATGATGATGATGCTGATGCTGATGCTGATGCTGATGATGCTGATGATGCTGATGATGCTGATGCTGATGCTGATGCTGCTGCTGCTGATGATGATGATGACGATTATGATGGTGATGATGCTAATGAGGATGATTCGGATCACGACGGTGATGGTAGGGGTGCATGAGAGGGGCGGAGGAAGGTGTAAGAGGATAATTGTCGTTTGTGATACCCTTCGTCCTTACTTCTCGAGGAGATGCCATGGACCTCATTCTGGCCGTGTTGGGTCTGGCCTGGGCTCCTGCGGGGCAGTGCTGCGTGTCCCCTGGGGCCCTCTTGGGCCGTCTGGTGTTCCTTTGCCTCCTCCTCCTCCTCCTCCTCCTCCTCCTCCTCCTCCTCCTCCTCCTCCTCCTCCTCCAGTATAGAGGGGTTCTCAATGGCTGTGTTGGGGCCACCTCGGCGTCGGCTTGGGCCGTCCGTGGGCCCTCTGAGGCCAGCCTGGGGCCGTCTTGCAGGCCTCCTGGGCCGTCATGGGGTCCTCCTGTACCGTCCTTGGGACTTCGTGGGGGCCTCTTGAGGCCATCTCGGAGGCCTCGTGGGCCACATTGGGCTGAAGGAAGCCCGAGGACGGGAGAAGGCGATACAGTAATCCTGCAAACGCCAACGGGACGTCCCTGATTTTGGATTCTCCGGGCCCGGCTGGGGGTCCTCGTGTGGTCCTCTTGGGCCGGGAGGCTTCCTGGGCCGTCTTGAGGCCATGTTGGGCCGCCTTGGTGCCATGTTGGGCCGCCTTGGTGCCATGTTGGATCGTCTTCGAGGCATCTTGGGCCATCTGCGCGGCCTTGGTTGCTTGCCTGGTCCGTTCCAGAAGCTCGGGACGCGGATTCATCGTCTTTCAGAAGAGATCGTGGCCCAGGCAGCATTGGGAGAGGGGGGCGATGCATGCGGGGAATGCGGGTAGAGGGGGAGGGGCCTCTTAGTATAGTATCAGAACCTACCATACAGCCCTCGGCATTCTTCCACGCCTCAACGTGCACAAGGCACGGTGGCGGATCACTGCTGCGCAATAAGCGAAACTGGAGGGCCAGGTAATCGTTTGTTTATTCATTGCTTTGCCGATCGGCGCGGGCCCTCGCCCCCCCTCTCCCCCCCCTGGAGTAGATCTTGGTTGGTTTTTGGCGCCTGTTTCGAGCAGGTGGAGTCTCCCCCGCAGGATGCACCCTTGCAAAAAGTCCCACTAAGCCTAGGTCCGGAGCCAGACACCCCCCTCCCCCCCCCCTCCCCCCCCTTCCGCCCAGTGTCGAAACGCCGAATAAAAAAACGCTCACCAGACAAAACGCCCTTGCAAACGCGGAGGAGGAGGAGGAGGAGGAGGAGGAGGAGGAAGGAGGAGGAGGAGGAGGAGAGGAGGAGGAGGAGGAGGAGGGTGGGCAACCCTGAGATCGACGTCGCGACGCTGCATCGCCGTGAGAAGGCGCGGCCTGGAGCCCTCGACCCCGTCTCCCTGTGGGCTTCGGATCGATCCTCCTCCTCCTGCTCCTCCTGCTCCTCCTCCTCCTCCTCCTCCTCCTCCTCGTTCCCCTCCTCCTCCTCCCTCTCGTCCCCCTCTTCCTGGAGCCGGATCGATCCGCGAGGGCCCCGGCGAGGCCCGATGTCCCTAGGGGTTTGACGACTGGTCTTCGCCGACCCACGTGTGTTGGGATAGTACCAGAAAAATTAAGGCACATGCTCATACAGTCAACCCGCGGAGTAAGGATTAGCAACTTGTCCTAGGTTACCCTTGCATCCTTGCCCCTTCGGTCCATCCCTGGCAACTTTCGCTGGCCAGCCCCTTAGGGTACCCTTGGGGCGGGCTTTCCAAGGCCCTTGCATCCTTATCGTGCATCCTTACTCCGCGGGTTGATTGTACATCTACACCCCTCCGCGAAACGCAGCGCAAGCTTCGCGACCCCCCCCTCGCCCCAAATGTCAACGCCCAGTTGCGCGCGCGCGTGGCAGTGCGCGGACGCCGTCGGGGAATTTGACGTCACGCGCTCCGGCGTCAGCATTGAAATTTTGGGGGTCAGGGGGCGCCCAGTGCCGCGCGGGAAAACTTGCGCGTGAAGTTTCGCGGAGGGGCGCGGGCAAATCCAGAGACTTCTGTATGGACACCTGGAGCCGCACGTGGCCGCTCGGCGCGCCACTGGCGCGTCGGCAGAGGCAAGGCCACCAGCACGCCTACCTCTTTGCAGCCTTTACACGTGGCCGCTCCAGCGCGAGCCGAGGGGCGGCAGAAGCCGTTCAGCCCTCACGAAGGATCGGCCACGCGCAGAGGGGGGGTGGCGGGAGGGGGGAAGGCCTTTTAGAAGCTCCAGCCCCTTCTTAGAAGGCGCGGGCGCCCCCTCTGAAAAGCTTGGGGCTGTTTCTCAGAAGCTGCTCCTTGCGTGCTTCAGAGAAGGCAGGTGGCTTGCCTCTAAGAATCTGTCCTTGCTTCTAGGAGGCAGTTCCGTGCTTCTGAGAGAAGCTTCGGGGGTGCTTCTGAGAAGCGGCGCGCCCCTGGCTTCGTACAGAAGCGGCCAGCGCCTTCTCAGAGGCAGCCGCATTCTAGGAAACCTCCCCCCCATCCTCTACCCCCTTGTGCGCGCCGCCAAGAGGCTGTACCCTCGTGGCCGGCGCCCAGCGAAAATCGCCCGGCGAGGACCGACGTGCGGCCACGCGCAGAGCGTGGCGAGGGGAGGGGGGAAGGCTTCCCTGAGAGCACCCTTTGCTTCTGAGGAGGCGTGCGCCTGCTCTACAGGTGCAATGCCGGCACCCTCTAAGAAGCAGCCTCCTTCTAAGAGGAGCCTCCCCCCCTTCCCTCTGCCCCCTTTGTGCGCGCCGCCAGGACCTGCACCGCCCCGACCTCGGGGTCGCGGGGGATGCGGGCCTGGAGGGAAGCGGGTCCTGAGGTCTTCGCTGTTTCTGGCTCCCCGAGGCCCTGGGGCGGTCAGATAACGACTCAGGATGGGTCTGGTCCTGGGTCGGGCCGGGCGAAAGAGGGATTGGGAAAGGGGGGATTACGAAATTTGCTGCATGCAGCTGGTTTCGGCCTCGCCGAGGGCCCATTCCTCGATACATAGCCGCCTCCAGCGCCTGGAGGCGCCGGGAAAATCAGCTACGTGAGCTGATTTTCACCCCCCCCTTTGCTATCCCCCCCTTTCGCCCGACCCGACTGGGGGAAGGGCCTCCGGGTCCAGGGCCCGTTTCCTTCCGGACCCGCCGCCCCCGTGCCGCATCTCGGGGCCGTGGGGCTGTCTCTGCGCCGGCCGTCCGCGCGCCGTCGCTCCCGAGGGCCCCGCGGGGCGTCCTCGCGCGCGCGCAGGCGCGTGGTGGACGTGGTCCGGGCGGACCTCAGGATCCTCGAGGAGCGGCGCGGCGGAGCGGGTTCAGGGTCAGCGGTGCGGGCTTGGCATCGCTCGGACGTGTGCATTTTTTCCTCGGCGAGGACCACGGAGGAGCATCCTGGATGACTTAGCGAAAAATGCACGCACGAAATCGAAAGGTACACGAGGAGTGGACGTCCGAGCGATGGCAAGGGGGGGGGATGGGCATTGCAGTGGAGACCCATGTCAAGGAACACCCTGCGTGCCTCCAGGGTGCCCTGGGTTTCGTGGGTGTCGGATGTTTGCCGCGGAAGGCGTGGCGCCCCCACGCCAAACATCGATGGACGTCGTGGGGTCGCAGGGTTGGGTCTCCTGTGGTCGGGCTTCTTGTGGTCGGGCCCCTGCTGCAGAGGGGGGCGCATCGACCCCCTCCTCCTCCTCCTCCTCCTCCTCCTCCTCCTCCTCCTCCTCCTCCTCCTCCTCCCTCCCTCCTCCTCCTCCTCCTCCTCCTCCTCCTCCTCCTCCTCCTCCTCCTCCTCCTCTCTGGCCGCCGACGGGGGCCCGACAGCCCCGACCTGCCCCGGAGCGCGCGGAGGCACTGTCAGATTCGAGGCTCGTTCTGGGGACCTTCCTGGGGCCCACCTAATGGATCTTCACCACCCACCAAACCACCCCAACCCAACCCGAAGGCTCAGATTTACCCTCGATTTCCAGTGGGGGGGGGGTCGGGAAACATCGAAAAAACACATGTGGAACCCTTACCCCCCCCAACCCGAAATTCGGGTCTTCGGGTTGGGTTGGGGTGGTCTGGTAGGTAGTCAGATCTGTTCGACTCGGGTTCGACTCAGGTTCGACTCAGGTTCGACTCAGGTTCGACTCAGGATCGACTCAGGTTCGACTCAGGATCGACTCAGGTTCGACGCACTAGTGGAGCGAGTGGCTCCAGGAAGGTCCCCAGAATGAGCATCTAAATCAGAGGCCTATCGCCGATCCATCGGCGATGTACCGCCGATTCCAGGTCGATGCGCCCCCCCCCCGATGCCAGTCCCCCCCATCGTCGCCTCGGAGCTGGATAGACCTCCTCCCCTGACGCGTCGATTGAGGAATCGGCCGTTTTCGGTTCGCGAGAGGCGTCGCGGCCGTCATTGCTGCGGGTCCAGGTCCGTCGGTTTCGGTCCCAGGCCGTTTTCACTAAGGGAGGTTTACTGAAGGGAGGTTTGTCCACCGCCGATTGCCTCTCACCGGTGCAGTCGAAACGGGTGCGGAAATGATGGGCACAAAGACCTGCAGCAGTTCTTGTCCCACTTGTTCGGGGTTCGTATAGGAGAAGGTTAGCCCAAGGCGGGGTTAGGGCAGGAGACCAGCTGACTGTTTTCGTACTTTCTTGTTCCAGAGCCGTTTAGGGCGATTTTCTTGCTTCGGCGGCGAGCCTGGGGGGGAAGTGGGAAGAGGTGGGCTGTCTGAGAAGGCACGGAGAACTTCTCAGAAGGCGCGAGGGCTTCTATGACGCCCCGCCGTCTTCTGAGAAGGCCTGCCCCCTCTCACTTCCTCCCTGAGCTCGCTGCTCTTCACTTTGAACAGGACTCGATGTCGGTGTCGCCGCAGACGTTGTCCACGTCTCTAGGCCTCCCAGACGGGCTCGGAGTAGGATGGGGTCGGAGGGTCGCGCCGCATCGGTGATGTATCGCTGATGCCGGTCGATGTGGAGCCTGATTTGTTCCGCGCTGGTGTCGCCAATGCACCGCCGACGTCGCCGATGCATCGGCGATGCATCGGCGGTGCGGCGCGATCCTCCAACCCTATCTGCTCAGAACCCATCTAGGAGGCCTTTAAGAGACCGACAGCAGTTCTTGTTTATCTTGAACCCGACTCGACATCGGTATCGCCGCGGACGTTGTCCCCGTGAGGTCAAAAGGCGCCTGCCCAGCAGCGGCCGCTGTCGGGTTAGACCGCATTCGCCATCGTGCGAGGACGAGGAGGAGGAGGAGGAGGAGGAGGAGGAGGAGGAGGACGAGGAGGAGGAGGAGGAGGAGGAGGAGGAGGAGGTGGAGGATGAGGAGGAGGAGGAGGAGGAAGAGGAGGGCGGCCTCAGGGGGAGGAGGGGGCGCGCGCGATGGTCCCAGGCCTTCAGGAGAGCCTTTCTGTTTCATTCCCGGGCTGCAGCGGGCGCCACCAGGGAGGGGAGAGGGGATCGGATCATCGCCCACCAAACCACCCCAACCCAACCCGATGGGTCCGATATGCCCTCCTTTTCCAGTGGGTGGGTGGGTCGGGGAACATGGGAAAAACACATAAAGCCCGTAACCCCCCCCAACCCGAAATTCGGTGGAAATTCGGGTTGGGTTGGGGTGGTTGGGTAGGTAGTCAGGGGAGGCCGGAGGGGGCCGGCAACGCCACTTTTCGCGCCAGCGCCGTCTGGGAATGTTCGGGGACAGCCACAGACCGTCCGGCTGACGTCAGCACGAATCGTGACGTTGCCTGGATGGGGGGGCCGCTGGGGCCAGGCCGCTATCGCGAAAAATAGAAGACACTGTCCAATCCATGCGTTCTAAAAAAGGAGTCCCCTGGCGGCAGGTCGAACTTGTCAGGGGGCGCGTGCTGCAAATTACAACGTCGGAGGTTGGAGATGATGTGCGTTTCACCTAACAAGGGTCCCTTTGGACAGTGGTGGCGATTCTAGCGCTCGTGCCCTGCCACAAGAAAGTGCGCGGAAAAGGACGGGGAGGGTGAGGAGAAAGGGGACGGGTGGTGTCTGGAAGGATTCAGGATATCAACGCCTTCAGCTAAGAAAGCGCCGCCCCGTCCGATGATGTTCGCGTCTTGCCGGGCCACTGTTCGGTGGTGCTTGCTCGATCGGGATGCCTCTTCTGGAGTCATGGAACCACCCACCTCCGTTAACATGGGCCAAGTTCACGGTGGATACACATCTCGTCTACAACCTTCCTGTGAAACTTAGAGCCTTCCATCGTGGCTGCTGCTGCGCTCTCCTTGTTCCCTGCGGAATATTGCGAAGGCTTTAAGGCCGGTGCCCCCGACCCTGAAGCCGGGACCTCCCCCGATACCCGCTGGCGGCCCAACCCCCCAGACCCCGCCAGGCGGGGGGCGGCATTTTGACTTGGGACCCCTCCACCACGCCCCCCCCCAAACCCCCTCCTGCCCCTCCCCCAACCCCCAACCCCTCCCCCACCTTCATGTGAACCTTAGAGCCTTAGAACCGTCTGTCACGGCTGCTGCTGCTGCTGCTGCTGCTGCTGCTGGCGGTCACCTTACCTTGCGGAGTATTTGGGCTTTGCTTCGCCCATTTGCGCCCTTCTCCTCGGAAGTTCTTCTCGTACAGACGGTGCTTCCTTGGCCTGGTCGAGTCTCGCATCAATCGCCTCTTACCTCGTCTGCTCTTCGGCCTGTCTCCCCTACTCCGCTTACATCTTTTTCGTTCTCTGACAAGTTCATTCCCTCCTCTTTCGTCGCACATCCCTTCCTGATGCGTGTGTCTTCCTCTTTTCAACTCGAGATGCTTGACGCTTCGCGTGACCTCACCAGCCCATCCAGAGACGGTGCCCAGATGAGTTGCCTCGCTCAGGGAACTTGGCATCACACAGAGGAAGAGTCCCTCGTTGAGCGCTCTTGGGACACTCCTGGGCGCTTTTGGGTGCCTCGGGGAGCCTCTTGGGGCTTCTTGGGGGTCTTTGGGGAGCCTCTTGGATGCCTCTTGGGCGCCTCCTGGGGCCTCCGGGGCTCCTCTTTGGGCCCTCTAGAGGCACTCTTGGGAGCCTTGGGAGCGCTCTTGGGGCCATCTTGGAGGAGATCGATCAAACAGATGGGAGCTCTAATTACGACCCCCCTTCGGGAGCCCCCAAAATCGCCTCTTGGGCTCCTCTTGGGGCGCTCTTGGAACACTCTTGGGCGCTCTTGGCGCCGTCTTGGGGCTCTCTGGGGCCTCTCTTGGGGACCTCATGGTTGGAGCTGTCTTGAAGCGAAAAGGCGAGAGTACACACATAATTTATTTTCCCTAGGTTTTTGACGGATGTTGGCCTCTGGGCGGCCTCCTGGGGAGTCTCCGTGGCCATTCGGAGCCGTCTTTGAGCGGCCTCGGGGCCTCTTGGAGCATTTTGGGAGCCATATTGATCCATCTTGGGCTATCTTGGGCCATCTTGGACGTCATCTTGGCCTCTCTGAGGCCCTCCTAGAGCCATCTTGGGCAATCTTGCACGTTCCACAGCCTCGCGACCCCCCCCCCTCCAGCTCAAGGGGACGGGGAGGGGGAGGGGTCAAGACACCCTCCTAGATAGCAAGTCGTCTAGCTCACTCCCACCCGCCCTCCCAACACATAAGTAACACCCGCGACTCAGCATGTTCAGAGGTCGTCTTGGGATGAGCAGCTACTGGGAACCAAAGCCGAGCCGTGCGTCACGCTGGGGCGAGTTGCGCCACGCGTGCCAGGCGCGCCATGTGCGCCAGGCATCCCTGGGGCCCGAGCGTGCCAGGCACGCCTGATACGCCATATGCGCCACGTGCCTCCGCGTGCGCCAGGTGTGCCGCATTCTCCAGCCTCGCGAGGTGCGCCAAGTTCGGGGCACGTGCAGAGTGTATCAGGTGCGCCTGCGCACGTGACATCACACATTGGGAAGCATGTCGGCCTCCACCATCCTCGTCGGAAACCGATGCCCATCATTGTATCTGGTGAGCCTGCACACTGCAGGCCATATGCCACCACCCCCGCCGTCCCTGTCAAAAGCCAATTGTCAGTGATCGCGGGTTGGCCGCGCATGATTCAGATTTAGCCGCGAGGGGCATTTCGTATGTTTTGTGTTGTCAGTGATGGTAGCCCTGCGGGCAGCAGGCAATACGCAGACGCTCCCGTCGTCCATGCCAAAAGAAACATTACAAAGTGCGCGCGGGCCTCACGGACATGATTCCAGACTTTGCCCCCACGTGTGTTTTGCATGATTTTTGACAGGGATGGTGGGGGGGGCCGCATCGGGTGGGTTGCGCATGCTCCGAATTTGGAGTCAGAGTGTGTGTGTGTGTGTGTGTGTGTTCGTATCGTTTTGTTGGCAAGGATGGTTGGGTGTGTGTGTGTGTGTGTGTGTGATCATGGGGTCCTCATTGTTCCCGGTTGGCTGCCGGTCGCCTTGGGGGGGTTGTATGTTAATCTGGAGCAGTGATAATCCCTCCCCGAAGGGGAAGAAGAGGGTTGGAAGAGAGAGCTCTCTAGACCACCTACGCCCAGAGGGCTGTTGGGATTCCTGTCTTGTCTGGGTAACCTCTCGTGCATCCTGTGCTCACTCTCCTCCTCTCCTTGCCCACATCAGCGCACTTGCCACCTGCTCGTTTATCCCAGCTTGCTGTGCTTCATGCCGACTTCCCACCATGCAGGAGCTGCAGCCGCGCCGCTTCTTCTACGCGAAGCATGCGCTGGTGGGGCTCCGTGGGATCGCACGAAACCCATGCAGGTGGCAATGGGACAGCGAGAAAGAGAGAGAGAGAGAGAGAGTGAGAGAACATTACCAGGTGACGTACCCAATCCTTTCTAAACACATGGCGAGTGTGCTCGGGACCGCTCACTACAAGCAAGCTTGTTGAGTGACTCGCGACTCGCGGTGCGCATGAGCTTCCAGACGTACATAACATCAACGCGCAGGAATGGTACGATAGGGACGGGGACAGAAGCATGCGGAGGAGGGTGAATGGGGGACGTACATGTTCAACGGCAATAAAAGCGCCGAGCGCAACACACGCGGGACAGAACAGCGCCATGCGCCGTGAAGCAAAACAGCGCGTCGCGCTGAGAAGCGCACGGGGTGGCACGGCGGCCCAGAGGCAGCTTGAGGACAAGAGGCCGCGCGGACAAACGATGAAGCCATTCGCTGCGTGGCGCACTGGCCGCCTGCAAGCTGCGATGCGACAGCGCCGAGCGCTGCGCGACGGGACAGCGCCGCGCTCTACGGGAGCTTCTGCCACCTTGGATGAGAGCAGTCGCCGTCAGTTGCAGTTCTCGTCGCCGCCCACTGGCGGCAACTACCGCGAACTCGCCTGACACCGCCGTCAGGTGCTTCCGTCAGTCGTGCAGGAACTGCTCCAGGCCGAGGTTGGCGCGAACTTCGCTGCGGCGAGGAGGCCAGGGAGCTGCGAGGTCTCGACGTGTGATCCCCGTGCCACTCCACCCCGCTGGACCTCCCAGGAACGCACGAAAGTGGCGACGGCTTCACTTTTCGTAGCCACCCGGGGAGCCGCGAGGTCTCAGTTGGGTCCCCGCATCATTCCGCCCCGCTGGGCCTCCCAGGAGCCTATGAAAGCGGCGACAGTTTCACGCTTCCCAGCGCCCCATGGCGCCGCGAGGTCTCAACTGGATCCTCGTACTATTTCGCTCCGCTGGACCTCCCAGGACCCTTCTGAAATGGCGACAGTTTCACATTTCGAAGCCCCGCATGGAGCCGCGAGGTCTGCAACTGGGCTCCTGTACCACACCACCGCGCTGGACCTCCCAGGAACCCACATGCTTGGCGACAGTTTCACACTTCGCAGCCCCCCGAGGGAGCCGCGAGGTCTTCATTGGGCTCTTGTACCACTCCACTCTGCTGGACCTCCCAGGTGCCCACGAACGTAGCGACATATTCGCATTTCGCAGCCTCCCCAGGGAGCCGCGAGGTCTCAACTGGATCCCAGTACCATTCCGCTCCGGTGGCCCCCCCAGGAGCCCACGAGCGTGGTGTCAGTTTCTCTTTTCGAAGTCCCACAGGGATCCGTGAGGTCTTCATCTGGATCTTTGTACCACTCCACTCCACTTGACCTCCCTGGTGCCCACGAACCCGGCGGTAGTCTTACACTTTGCAATCCCCGACGGGGCCGCGAGGTCTCGCCTGGGTCCCGTGTGACTGCGCTCCGCGCGACCTCCCAGGGGGCCCACGAGAATGGGGACAGTTTCGCGCTTCGCAGCCCCGCAGGGACTTGGCATCGCTCGGACGTGTGCATTTTTCCTTCGGCGAGGACCATCGAGGAGCATCCTTGAACATTTGGCGAAAAGCCACGCACGAAACCGAAAAACGCAAATGGAATGGACGTCCGAGCGATGGCCAGGGGAGCCGCGAGGTCTCAACGTGGTTGCCGCGCAGGCAGGAGGCAGGCGGGAAGGGAGGAGGAGGAGGAGGAGGAGTAGGAGGAGGAGGAGGAGGAGGAGGAGGAGGCCGCGATGTCCTCCCTCGCCCTCGCGGGTGCTCGCGAGAGAGGCAGAGGGCACGATGGAGGAGGTGGGAGGCAGGAGAGGAGGATCGGGGGGGGAAGAGGATGGGGAGGAGGAGGGCAGACGCGACCACGGTGCCCTATTCAAAACGAGCACCCAGCACGGGAGGGCCGAGGAAGTCAATCGAGGGAGGGAGGTTCGGAGATGGAGATTGCGCTTGAGAGAGGCATCTATATATATATATATATATATATATATATATCAACTTGCTTTTCAGACAGCCGGTCTACCCGATGGTCTCTCCCTATGCGGTCCTGTGCGCATGTGGGGAGGCACTCCGCGTGATGATGAACAGGCGCCTCGAGAAGGTGCGACGCCTGACGGAGGAGAGTGCGAGTCTAATGTCCCGTACGCGCAGTGGTGCTTGTTGCTTTGCATGCGTTCGCATTTTGAGCAACCTGCGTGTGCGCACGACTTCTGCACGTTCGTACCTGAGTCCGTGCATGCGGACGTACTGCGTCCAAGTGTTGTGTGCACATCTACGTGCGCACTCCGCGTTCATTGTGTATGCAGTGTGCGCGGGTATTCTTGCACCATCAGCATCAAAGGACAACGTGTCCTGGATGTTGCATGTCGCGGTGTGTGTCTGATACCGTCGTATTGGACTCGCTTCTGCATTTCCAGTTCACGCCTCCCTGGCGGCGATTGCTGGGAACGTGCTGGTAGATCGGAGCCGAGCGAGGGGGGGAAGTGAGAAAGAAAAGGCCTTCTCAGAAGGTTCGAGTCATTACTAACGCTCCCCTCGCTATATTTTCCTGCTCCGCCCTCCCCCTCCAAATGAGGGTTGGCGGAGCCATTTTACCCACATTCCGTTACCGTACGCAGCTGTTTGGTACTAGAAAAGGATTGCGCTGCGCGCGCCCGGCTTTCGACTGGCAGGCTTATATCCACCGCACTGTTAGTACATCTGCTTAACGGACATCCAAGCCATAGCGTCACGTACCTCACCGAGGCTGAACCTGGGACCGCACTTAGAAGACGACTACCATAATATTCAGAACAAGAGCCCATCAACCGAATCAATATTGTTCATGATTCCATGACGATTCGGCAAAACGCTGGCTATCAACCGAAATTTGTTCCACGAGATCAAACAGCTGTGCTTCTTAAGTCGGGAGTGGATATACCGAGTATTGGAGAGCAGCGCCACGGATTAGAAGGAATCCAAAGGATCCCCTTCGGTCGCGTTCTTCACATAATCCATAATCTCAGCATGAAGTTTTCGTTGTCGTCGGAAGGAGGCCCTGGTCGTCGCGACATGCCGCGAGCGGGCGCAGGCACGGCAGAGGCAGACGCCGAGTGGGATGGATCGAGCAGATCGGGCGGATCATCATTGCCGCCCGGCGTTCAACAAGCCTACATGATTTCCCCCGTTTCGGATGAAAATGTGGACGACCACGTATCCGTCTCGTCTCGTCGGAACAAGCGGGATCAGTCAAGTCAACACCTCGCCTAGATCAGGGAATGGCTGATGAGTCTCGCCTGGGGAGTGATTCCGATGCTTGTGGTTTCGGGCCATCCCCGGCATCGGCTAAGGAGCTTTCGCCGACGTCAGTCTCTTTTGACGACTGCGTCGCGCAACCGTCATGGGAAGACCTGCGCGGGGAAATGGCGGAAATAATGGCCAGCATGCGTGCGGCCGTCCAGCCGAACGCTGGGGAGACGCCTGGACCGAGAGTGCCCACGGCGAAGCAACCACGGGGGAGGAGCAGCTTATCGATCAGGTCCCCGCTCGAGGCATGTGAAGCGGACCAAGACGATGGGAATGCTTGAGGATGCCTAGGCAGGACGCTCCATATGTGAGAGGGAATCCGACCACAGCGGACAACCTTTGTCACGCGGGCCCCCTGTTTGGCGTACGCGATTATCTTGCGCCGCCCTTTGATGGCCTTTTGCTCTCTATACCATATCTTGCCGCGGATTCTGACAGGCTTCCCGCTTGCGTCTTCGATTCTTAGTTGCAGGCTTGCCGGGTGCCATAGGCGGCGGCGAGGATGTATCCCTTGCCAATTGGCCCATCAGGAGCACGCTTGCGAGAAACAGGCAGGTCATCACTTTCGATGTCCGTTGGGGGCGGAGGTGGGGAGGAGGAAAAAGAGGAGGACGAGGAGGGGCCGATGATCGTGACGGTGCTCATGATGATGATGATGATGATGATGGTGTTGATGAGGATTATGATGATGATGTTGTTGTTGACGATGATGCTGCTGCTGATGATGATGATGCGGAGGAGGAGGAACAGGAGGAGGAGGAGGAGGGTGATGATTATGATGATGATAGTAATGATGATGTGAATGATGAGAATGATGAAAATTGTTGATGGGGATGCTGATGAGGATGCTGGAGGTGAACCTGATGATGCTGATGATGATGCTGATGCAGCTGGTGATGATTTTCATACTGATGATGTTGATGCTGATGATGATGCTGATGCTGATGATGGTGATGGTGCTGCTGATGGAGAGGATGAGGATCATGATGCTGGTCGGATGAGGATGAGTCTGACTGAGGCTTCGGTCGAAGAAGCAAATGATGGTGCTGATGGTGCTGCTGCTGATGATGATGCTGATGACGAAGATGATGGTGATGCTGATTATGCTGATGCTAATCATGATGGTGATGATGATGATGATGATCATGGTGTTGCCGCTGATGGTACTTGTGATGGTGAGGATGAGGGTGGTGGTGGTGGTGCTGATGATGATGATGATGCTGATGCTGCTGCTGATGATGATAGTGGTGGTGGTGGTGGTGGTGGTGGTGATGGTGCTGCTGATGATGATGACGATGATGATGATGATGCTGATGATGATGATGATGCTGATGATGATGATGATGATGAGGATGATGATGCTGCTGCTGATGATGATGATGATGCTGCTGCTGCTGATGATGATGATGACGATGATGATGATGCTGCTGCTGCTGCTGCTGATGATGATGATGAGGAGGAGGAGGAGGAGGAGGAGGAGGAGGGAGGAGGAGGAGGAGGAGGAGGAGGAGGAGGAGGAGGAGGAGGCGGAGGAGGCGGAGGAGGAAGGAGAGGAGGAGGAGGAGGAGGAGGAGGAGGAGGAGGAGGAGGAGGAGGAGGAGGAGGGGAGGAGGAGAAGGAGAAGGATGAGGAGGAATGACCTGCTCTGGAGCTGCAAAGGTCTCCTGCGGTGCGTGGGGGGGGGGAGCCCGTCCGTCGGCCGTCTTGGGTGGCCTTATGGGCCATGGGGGCCTCGGGAAACCCGTCCGAGGGGAGGGTGGGGGGCGGCGGCTGGGAAATCACCCTGGTCGGCGCCACGGGGGAGGGGGAGGAGTGCGGCGTGCCCGAGTGCATGTTCCCTTTCAGCAGCCAAGGCCATGGATGGCATCTTGCTGCCGTGCGTCTGGTGTGAGGCGTCAGGGGCGCTCTCGGAGCCTTTTTGGACCTCGGGTGTCTTTAGAGTCTCGGGCCGCGGGCTGCGCTCTTGTCGCGACCGGGCCGCGTCCGCCATCTCCCCCAGGTCGCAGCACCGTTCCCTCGCCATCCTCGCTCTTCTGGAAAGGGGGGCCCCGCGTGGCCTGCCGGCGTTGCGCCGAAGATGCGATGGGGCAAGGGACGCCGGCTTGCGCAGGCTCGTGCGTGCGAGGCAGCGTCGAGGGCAGGGCTGCCTGGGATGCCGCTTCCGCCGGGGAGGACAGGTCCTGGGCGCCCTCGAGGGTGCGAAGTCCTTCGCGCTTCGCGGTTCGGCGTCGAGTCCTCGTCCTCCTCCTCCTCCTCCTGCTCCTCCTCCTCTTCCTCTTCTTCTCCTCCTCTTCCTCTTTTTCCTCCTCCTCCTCCTCCTCCTCCTCCTCCTCCTCCTCCTCCTCCTCCTCCTCCTCCTCCTCCTCCTCCTCCTCTTCCTCTTAGGAGGACTGGTCCTGGGCCAAGGTCCGGGGTTTGGTTTGTGCTCTGCGCATGTCCGCGTAGTCTTTCGGCTGGCAGGTGGCCAACATGAGCGCGCGTTTGTTGGTGAACAGATGAACAAGCTGCAGCTGCTTCTGCTGTCTCCAAGGCTTGTTACCTCCCACTGTCGCGCTGCCGTGCTTCGTTCCGAGGCCCGAAAACCATCACTTCACTAATTTTGGGCCCCAGGGCCCACTGAGGCCCCAGGGGCCCCAGATTAGTGAAGTGATGTTTTTTCCCACGTAAGGACCCCGAAATTCATCACTTCACTAAACCGAACCCAGGACGAAAGTCAGGGGCCGAATTGCTGCTGTGAAGCAACATAGGTCTCGTATTCGTGGTCTGGGACGGTTGTCGGGGGAAGAGCTGGGGGTTGAGCGCGGGTTGTGTCGAGGCACTGTCATCTCCGAGCTCAGGTCCAGGCGCGTCGGCCTCCAGGGCCGCTCGACTATGCGAGCTCCTCCTCCTTTTCCTCCCCCTCCTCCTCCTCCTCCTCCTCCTCCTCCTCCTCCTCCTCCTCCTCCTCCTCCTCCTCCTCCTCCTCCTCCTCCCTCCTCCTCCTCCTCCTCCCTCTCCTCCTCCTCCTCCTCCTCCTCCTCCTCCTCCTCCTCCTCCCTCCTCCTCCTCCTCCTCCTCCTCCTCCTCCTCCTCCTCCTCCCCTCCTCCTCCTCCTCCTCCTCCTCCCTCCTCCTCCTCCTCCTCCTCCTCCTCCTCCTCCTCCTCCCCCTCCTCCTCCTCTCTCTCTCGCCGTGCGATCTGGGCGGTCAGGCGGGCCGGGCTTCGAATTTCGGGCCCTTGCGCCCACGGAGGGCGCCGTCTGTCGTCTTGTCCTGCCTCGGCGAGTGCGCGCGCGCCGAAGTCAGTTGGCGCTGCTGTCGCTGACGCAGCGCTGCGCGCCGAAGCTGGGGATTGCGAGGGGAGTCTTTGGACTTGCGTTAAGTCGGGCCTGTCCCTCTACAGGAGGAGTATCAAAAAATAGTCAAAAATGTAGTCGGGGGGACGATTTTTTGAGCATTTGTTGGCCATTTTGGAGCATTTTTTGAATATTTTTCATTTTTCGTGCAAAATCCCCCTGTACGGGGACAGACCCGACCTAACGCTGAAGCAGCGTTGCGCGCCGAAGCTGGGGACTGCGAGGGGAGTCTTTGGACCTGCGAAATTTGCGGGGCCCTCCGTCGCCCGGGAGGCCTATTTCCGAGGCTGTAGTCTGATGGGGGGATTCGGGTCCACTGGGGGGTTCCTGCGATTATGGTCCTTGGGGCTTCGGGGCCGTCTGCCACCGCGCCCGACTTGGGGGCCCAGGGGTCGCTTTTTGCAAGCGCGACTTGCAACCGCCATCCCGTGTCTGAACTGCGCCGCGCGGCGTGGTTCTTGGCGATGGTCGACTCCCAGGCCTCTCTCCTCTGCGAAGCTTCTGCTCCCGCGTGGCCCCCTTACGCCTGGCCCCCTCGGGCTGCTGAGTTCTCGGCGCTCTGCGGCTTGGGCCATGTCACTGGAGGGTCTTCGGAGGCGTGGAGCGACTGCGGCAACGTTGCCAGGCAGTGCCCCTGAGGCCCCGACTCGCGCAAGGGCCCCGAGACATTCTGTTCGGAACTTTTGCTGCAAGGGGTGGCTGAGTGCCGATGCCCACAGTGGCCCCGGCGAGGTGGGGATCTCGGGGCAGAGCGTTTCAGCCGTGCATGGACGGGGCCAGCCGACGCCGGTGCGGAGAGAGCCGCGGTGAGACGCCCCGCGCCTGGCCCCGCGCTGTCTAAAACAGGGCTAGGATCGGGATAAATCGCTCCAGAGCGTTCCGGAGCGCTCCCAGAGCGTTCCGGAACGCTCGGGAGCGGCCGCGGCGCCCAAGACATCCTCCAACCCCGCCGATTCTCAAAGATTTCGAGTTATCCCGATCCGATTTTGTCCCGATCTTCGCGTCGTTTTGCCGTCGACGGAGCTGGGCTGGAAGCCCAGGTCGCCAGGGCTGTCCTCGCCGGCGGTGCGGCTGCCCTGCCTCTGTGGCCTCGGGTGGAGTCTTTGGATGCGGAGCGAGCAGAGGAGGAGAAGGAGGAGGAGGAGGAGGAGGAGGAGGAGGAGGAGGAGGAGGAGGAGGAGGCGGAACGAGGAGGAGGAGGAGGAGGAGGAGGAGGAGGAGGAGGAGGAGGAGGAGGAGGAGGAAGAGGAGGAGGAGGAGGCGGAGGAGGACGAGGAGGAGGCGCAGGAGGACGAGGAGCGGCGGCCCCTCCTTCTCCCCTCGGGGCCGCCTCGCGGGCGCAGCACCAGCGGGGGAAGATCTCGACGGATTTCGGCGCCGCAGGCCTCATTTCACGGGTGCCCTCCGGCCTCGGAGAGCGCTCGCGCAGGCCCCCCGGCAGCTCGGGGCGCTCTCCGAGTCCTGGCTCCGCCGAGCTCGAATGCTTGGGGCGCGGCGTGGTTGCCGCCGCTTGCTGTGGTAATTCCTCTGTTGTCATTCGCGTTCTGTGTCGTTTCTGCTGTTCGGGGGCCCAGGTCAGAGGTCTCGGCGCCTCCTGCGCATCTCCCGCCGTTGCCGGCAGCCGTAGCCGGGGGGAGATGGCATCTGGTAAGCGCCCCGACGAACCAGGAGTAGCTGTCGAGACCCATTATCTTAGGAACGCTTCCATGTCCCAGCGCGTCTCTGCCCAGCCTGCCCCCTCGGAGGCCGACGCGGAGGCCCCCGTGCCAGGGATTGCGGTTCCCTCGATTGGAGACAGGGCTCGCCCCATGGGGGCCGTCTACGTCGGTCGGGAAGTCCCAGAGCGTCTCGACGCGGAAGACGTGGCCGTCCACTGCTTTTTTTCCCCAGGGCACCGGGCCAGTTAGGCCGCCCTCTGATGGTGTCGTGGTGCAGTCGTCCGCCGTTGCGGGCCGCGGTGCGTCGGCTGGCCTGCTGGCTCAGCTTGTCGAGCCGCCGCGCTGAGATGAGTGCGCTCGAGCGTCCTTCCCCCTAGAGTTCGGGTTGTCTGCGGCAGAGTCGGGCGACTCCGACTAGGCCGCGGCCCTGTCTTCCCTTCTCTTTTTCCGAGGTGGCGCGCCCTGCGTGCGCCAGGGGGTGGCTGGTCGGCAACGTCCTGACGTTCTCTACACCTGCTGTTCTCGCACTTGCGCATTCCTGGCGCTCCAGGCAGGCGCTGGCCTCTCGTTGTCGCTGCCATTTTGGCGGCGGTCGCGCGCGCGCTCTGTCGTCCGGTCTGTCGCGCATGTGTCGCGGGCGTGTCAGGCACCCCGCGTTTCCGCGCCCCGTTCGAGGCTTCGAGGCTCAGGGGGAAGGAACAGCTGCGCTGTTGCACCACTGCCTCGTGGCACGGTCGCGGCGTCTCGCGTGGCAGTGCCCCCGTCTGCGTTGAGGCATGGTGCTGATGCCGCAAAAAAGCACGAGGAGGAGGAGCAGGAGGAGGAGGGGCTCTCCTGGCCTCTCGGGCCTCCGGCCCCCGCGGGGGCCGTCCTACCCTCCCTCGCCGCGCGGCCGAGGAGGGGTGGCTGTCGTCGGCGGACAGTGAGGGCCTGGTCGCCTCGCTGCAGGCGGCCCTCCCTTGCGGCGTGTTTTTTTGGATTCCCGCCCGGGGGGGCCGAGGGCTTGCGGCGCAGAAGCCTCTGGGGGCCTCGAAAGGCCCGCCCAGAGAAGCTCGCGTCGCGAACGAGATCACGACTCAGGGTTTTCGGCCGAGTTCGGCTTTGGGGGCCCCCGCCGGGCTCCAGGACCTTCCAGAAACGAGTCAGAATCCAAAGCTGGCCCTGGGGAGAGGGTCGGGACTTCGGGCGGCCCGTACTGAACAAATCAAGAGGTCCCGTCTGGGAAGGCCTCCGCGAGGACAGCCGGAGACGCCTGGGGGCCTCCAGGGAGGAGGACGACGAGGAGGGGCGAAGGTGGAGGAGGGGGAGGAGGAGGAGGAGGAGGAGGAGGAGGAGGAGGGTGAAGAGGAGAAACAAACAATAAGAAGGCAGGGAGAGCTGGTCTCCTCTCTCTTTCTCTCTCTCTCTCTCTCTTTCGTCTCTGTTGCATTGGCTCCGCTTTTCTTCTCGTTGCACGAGTTGCGGATTGTCTCTGACTTCCATCAACCTAAATCGACCGACGGAGAACAAGCTGTGCACGTCAAAGGTGCTCTGGCACAAGGAAGTAAACTGGGGCGGTTTGACTCATCTGGCTGCAGTGCCCCTGAGGGCCTCTCGGGCTCTGTTGGGGCCGTCTTGGGCGTCTCGGAGGCGTCTTGGAGGCCATCTTGGGGTAACTTGGCCGTCCTGGAGTCCGTCTCGGAACCATCTTGACGGGAGCACCGATGGGAGCTCGTTTTTACGAACGTTTCCCAGTGGCCGACGGGTTGAGCCGACCCCATTGGGAACCTTTTGGAAGAGTTCAAACGGGGAAACCTTCGCACGCCAACAGCTCCTCTTGCAGGGAGCATGTGGAAGCGGACCTAGTGGCGTTCGGCCTGCGCTGTGGCTCAGAATCCTCTTGGATGCCTCTTGGGGTTTCTTGGGATGCCTCTTGGGTGCCTCTTGGAGGCCTCCTGGGGCTTCTTTGGGGCCTCGTGGGCGCCATTTGGGGGCCTCTTCGGCGCCTCTTGGGGGCCTCTTGGAGGCCTCGTGGGGCTTTTTGGGTGCCTCTACCGCCCTCTTAGTAGTCTTCGGGGCCATCTTGACACGAGAGGGCTTGTGAGGCCAGTTCGGTTTCCCCCCTTCCGGGTTGCAACGGCCACTAGCAGTACACTGCAATGCGTTGCTTCGCCCACGCACCATTGAGCGTATGGCTTCTTCCCTTGGGTTGAAACACCAAAGGTTTTCAATGGCCTCTGGCTTCGGGACAAAGCATGCCAGGCGTCCCGTGTGTCACACGGAACGCCCGTCTTGCTTTTCCGCCCTGCTGCGCATGTCATTTTCCCGCTTTCCGCTTCCGCTGCCTAGTCGTGGCCTGGCTAGAGTTTGGACGCCTTTCGGCACGCTTCACGATGCCGCTGACCAAAAAAGTATCCCCACCAGCCCATCCGGGAACATTTCTTTAGGCGATTTGCGTTGATCAGGGAGATGTAGCAACTGTTTTGGGTCGGTGTTGGCATCTTCGGGTTTTTTTTGGATGGCTCTGGCGGCGCGTTGAGCCGTGGTGGTGCCTCTCGGAAGTACGTCAGGAGCTGTCGTGAACCATCTCCGGCTATCTTGAGCTATCCTGGAGGCCATCTTGGGCTATCAGGAACCGTTGTGGAACCATAGTGGGCCCTGACAGGCCTTGGGGGGTGGAGGCGGGGTGGAGTTGGTGGAGGGCGGGGTGGAGGGATTGTGGAAGGAGTGGTGGAATGGGAAGGGGACTGGGAGTTCATGGTTGTGGAGGGCGGGTGGATGGGGGGTGGAGGTTTTTCTACCTCGACCACCCTCCTGTCCAGACCCAATGGAGGGAGTGGGGAGAGGGGAAAGCCGCTCCCTGAATTGGGGACGCAGCGGTTTGGGAGGAGGGAAGAAAAGAACTCTTATACCACATGCGCCCAGAGGGCTGGTGGAATTTGCGAGTTTGAAGCCTGGGTCCCTTGAAACATATTCAAAGCGCTCAATCCTCAGAACTCGAAGGGTGACCTGAGGACACTCCACTCAGTGCATATGGCACCGCGGCGGATGGCGGGAAGCGTCTTCGGGGTACGAGAAGCGAGCTGGACCTTCTGGCTGAATCGGCAGCATATCTAAAAATCTCTTACTCATGTGGGGTAGCTGATTGCATCTGGCCATTCGTTAGCAGATCCCCCAACATTGACTTCGCCTGAGACATCATCACACCAATGATATATTCGCGACACTGCGTTTAACACACAAGCGTTTCGTTCGAGACATCCTCGAAGAACTGAGATCCGCGAATTTCATCAATATGTGAACATTTGCGTTTCGCCAGAGACATCCTGGCCGAAAGGATGTGTCGACGGAGGTGTATTCCTACCTCTTATGTTGAGAACTACGTGTTCGCTAGGGATGTCCTCAGAACATGAGCGGCAGCACGGCGGATCAGAAAAGCGAGCACGGCCGAACATTTGCATTTCGCTGGGAACGTCCTCAACAAAAAGAGATGTTCTCAACACCGTCTTGACATGGTTCTTTAAGTGCTTCAAGATGAAGAAATGAGAGCCCAAACATGTTCGCAAGATGGCTCCAAGAGCGCCCTGAAAAGCTGCCGAACATGACGATCTCGCTGGGGACATCCTCAAAGCAATGAACACATACAACAACATCGTTTTGCAAACTGCTGTTCTAACATCGTCTTGACATCGCTCCTGAAAAGTCTTCCAGGCGGCCCAGGCTAGGCTTATAAAAATGACGATTTCGCTAGGGACATCCTCAACACAGAGATGTGTGTGACATCGCACTGGCATCGTTTGTGATTGCATCGAAACGGCCACGCACGAGGCCCAAACGAGCCCCAATATGACCCCAAGAGCGCCCTCGAGATTCCTCAACATGCGCATTTCGCTCGATAAATCCTCACACCAACGAGTTGTTCGCAACATCGCCTTTTACAACAACGCGTGTTTCGCCTGAGACATCCACCAGACACTGATAGTCACGAACTTAACCAACCCTTGAACGTGGCGCTATCACCTGAGACATCCTCGAACACATGAGATGTTGAAAAGGTTGACTTTTAAGACAATGCATGTTAAAACTGAGTGGTTCGCCTGGGACATCTTCAGAAAATAGGCAGGGCTACCGCAGCCCAACGCACAGAAGTACGCAAGAACGCGCGGGAGCAAGGCAGAACACACAGGAGCACGGCAGGACACATAGGAGCACGGCGGATCACAAAGATCACACGGCAGCACGGCAAAACATACAAAAGCACGGCAGAACACACAGGAGCACGGCAAAACACAAAGAAGAGCAAGGAGCACGGCATACTACACAGAACACATAGGAGCAAGGCAGACCACACAGGAGCACGGCAGAGCACGCAGAAGCACGGCAAACACGCACAGACCACAGGATCACGGCAGAACACACAGGAGCACGGCAGAACGCACAGGAGCACGGTAGAACACAGGAGCACGAGGAGCACAGCAAAACACACAGCATACACAGGAGCACGGCAGAACGCACAGAATACACAGAAGCACGGCAGAGCACATTGGAGCACGGCAGAACACACATGAGCACGGCATAACGCACGGCAGAGCGCATGCGAAGAACGTAGGACATCTCCCGTTATTGTCCGGTCAGGTTCCGTGCCGGCGATCGACCGGGGTCCGCAGAGGCCTGGCGCGGGTTCTCTTCGGCGTTGTTTTTCTTCGCCCACGTCGCTTCGCTGGGGAGTCGCTTCGCCAGGGAGTCGTTGCACCAGGGATTCGCTTCGCAAGGGTGTCGCTTCGCCAGGGAGCCGCGTCGCTGGAGAGTCGCTTCGCCCGGACGGGCTGACTCAAACCTGCGGGTCGGAACGGGTGGACCCACTCGAGCGGGCGAGCGGGTCGGGGTAGGCGGGGTCATGCGGGTGATCATGGAGGACATCAAGAGCGGGCGGGCGCTCACGCAAGCGGGCGGGCGGGACCCAGGCAGAGCGACCTGGGCGAAACGACTCGGGCGACGCGACCCAAGCGAAGCGCAGCTTGGGCGAGGCGATCTCTTGGCAGGCGCATCTCGGGCGAGGCGCAGCTCGGTGGGAAGCGCGCCTCGGCGAAGGCGCGACCGCGGGCGATGCGAGGCCTGTGCATAGCAGAATCCTGAGCGGCCCTGCCGGATAACAATCGAACAGCCGAGGAGGAGGAGGAGGAGGAGGAGGAGGAGGAGGAGGAGGAGGAGGAGGAGGAGGAAGAGGCGTGATGGGGAGGAGGGGAGGGAGGTGGGAAGGGAGGGGAGGGGGGCAAGCTAGGTGCGCTCACGCCCCAGTTGACATCCCGCCCCTCCCTCCCATCCCTTCCCATTGCGCTGTTTTTTCTCCATCCGCGGATGCGTGTCATAGCCGACGCAGAACTATAGAGGATGGGGGGAGCGGGGAAGGCAGCTGGAGGAGAAGGATGAGGAGAGGGAGGAGGAGTACGAGGAGGAAGAGGAGGAGGAGGAGGAGGAGGAGGAGGAGGAGGAGGAGGAGGAGGAGAGGAGGAGGAGGAGGAGGACCAGGAGCAGGAGGAAGGGAGGAAGAGGGAGGAGGAGAGAGGAAGAGGAGGAGGATGAGGAGGATGATGATGAGGAGGGGGAGGAGGAGTTGGAGGAGGAGAAGTAGCAGGAGGAGCAGGAGGAGGAGGAGGAGGAGGAGGAGAGGAGGGAGGAGGAGGAGGAGGAGGAGGGGAGGATGAGCTGGAGGAGGAGGAGGAGAAGGAGGAGGATGAGGATGAGGAGGTGAAGCAGCAGGAGGAAGAGAGCAGGAGGAGGAAGAGGAGGAGGAGGAGAGGAGGAGGAGGAGGAGGAGGAGGAGGAGGAGGAGGAGAGGAGGAGAGGAGGAGGAGGAGGAGGAGGAGGAGGAGGAGGGGAGGAGGAGGAAGAGGAGGAGGGAGGAGGAGGAGGGAGGAGGAGGAGGAGGAGGAGGAGCAGGGGAGGAGGAGGAGGAGGAGGAGAGTTGGGGAGGAGCAGGCGGAGGAGGAGAGGAGAGGAGGAGGAGGAGAGAGGAGGAGGAGGAGGGAGGAGGAGGAGGAATGGCCGGGGGAGGAGCGGAGAGGACGGGGAGGGCGTGGAGCAGGGGGTGAGGGCGGACGGAGCATCGGCGCCCCTCCCTCCCTGGCAGCCCCCCCCAGGGCCGCATCGTGCAGGTGGAGCGGTTCCTGCCGCGCCTGCGCTCGATGGAACGCGTCCGCGCCCCGGCGCCCGCTGCCCTCGCGGCTTTGGCCTTGAGGCGGGACGTGGGGCCCCATGGGGGCCTGGTGACCTCTCGCCTATCGACTTGCGGGGATCATGCCAGACAACTTCGTAGCGCTCGCACGCGTGCTCGGCGGGCACCATCCGGGAGCATCCCGGAGCATCTCGCGAAACCGCAGCCCCTTTGCAGCCGAAGCGTGCACGAGGAATGGATGCTCGAGCGATGGCAGGCACATCGAAGTACACCGAAGTCGGGCCTGTCCCTCCACAGGAGGAATATTCAAAAATAGTCTGGGGACGATGCTTTGACTAGTTCTGTCCACCTTTGAACCTTTTGGGGGTATTTGTTCTTCGTCCAAAAACCCCCTCCAGGGGGACACGCATCGACCTGTGAGTACACTTGGATGCATCGAGGCAAATCCTGGGATCCCTTGGAAGTCTGGCGCCGAGCGTGGACCCTCCAGCGCGGGGCGAGGGACGCCAGGAGTCGCCAGAAGCCCTCGACGCGGGGTTGGCGGGCGCTCCTCCTCTCTCCCGGCCCCGCGCGGCGCCCGCGGCGTCGGCCGCTCGTCCTCTCAGGAGCGGAAAAACAGACACAATGAATTGCCGATTCCCAGGAACGTCTGCGAAAATATGGGAAAGTGGGGGGGGAAGACAAAAACCCAGAACATGTGGGAAAGTATGGGGGATCCGGTGATTTGTGTCTCTTTCTTTGTGTGTCCCAGGGCCCCTTCATCCTCCCGCTCCCTGTGACCGGCCCTGGTCTGGAAGCCGTGGCCCGTGAAAAGCCAGGCGATCGCAAGCGCGGATCAAGGGGGCGTGGCTTGGCCCCCGATGCCTGTCGCTGCCCCGCGCGGAGAACACGGGCCCCTGTCCGAGGAGGGGGGGGTCAGGAGTCGCAGCGCCGCGGAGCACTGTGGACGGCTTCGGAGTCACTCATGAAGCACTCTGCGAATGGCCGCGTCCTGGGACCCATGGCCCGTGCAAAGTCGGGCGATCGTAAGCATGGATCCAGGGGGCGTGGATCAGCGACGGGTCCCGCTCCCCTGGGAAAGCGCGGATCTCCGCCGCCGAGCGATGTGGCACAGGCCGCATTTTGGGGAGGGCGCCCCTCCCCCGATCCATGGACTTGGCGACCGCGCGCCAGGCCCACGGATCGCTAATCCGTGTCTGCGCGCCCCCGAAAGGATGCTCCGCGCCTCCCGGCACCGAGCCGCGGAGCCCCCAGAAGCAGAGGCAGCCTCGAGTCGCTGTCGCTCCGAGGCAGTTCTCTCCCTCGAGCAGGGGGTCCGGAGTTTTTTTTCGCAGCTTTCGGGATCTGGGGACCGTCCCTCCCAGGACAGTCAGGACGCTGCTCAGTGTACAAAGCCGGTCTCAGGGAAGTGCCCCTGGGGTCCAGATGAGAAGGGTCAAGCAGTTGCGAGGCGTCCTGGCTTGCTACTTGGCCCACGAAGGAATGTTCTCAGACCCGTTTCTGGTCTGCACGAGCTTGTCTTAGAACATTCCTGGCTGAGATCGCCCTGTTTTCATACGCCAGTTCCGTGCTCGAGGAACATGAGTTTTGTTCTTAGAGCATTGTGTTGATTGTGCGAGCATGTCGTGGCTGGCCTCTAGGACTGCCGGGGCGGTCGATCCCTGCTCAAAGGGAGGAGGCATGGACGGCTTGTGTACCATGGGCGAGCTCGAAGTCCACCGGCCTGCGACCCCCTCGCTTGAGCCTCGTTGCCCCCCTTAATTGCAGTCTTACAGTGGAGGCCCATACCAAGAAACACCCTGCTTGCCTCCAGTGTGCCTTGGGCTTCTTGGGCTTCCATGGTTTTGCCGTGGGACAGCGTGACGTTCCCACACCAGGAATCAGTGGACGTCCTGGGGTCGCAGGGTTGGCTTTCTTGTGGAAGGTTTCTTGTGGACTGGTCTCCACTGCAGGCGGCCCCACCCGCCTCCCCTGGACTGAGGTTTGCGGCCCGTGGCCCCAGAGGCCTCTCGTGCCTCGAGGCTTGAGGAGGGGGGAGAGCAGGAGGAGGAGGAGGAGGAGGAGGAGGAGGAGGAGGAGGAGGAGGAGGAGGAGGAGGAGGGAGGAGGAGGAGGAGGAGGAGGCGGAGGAGAGGAGGAGGAGGCGGAGGAGGCAGGAGGAGAGGAGGAGTGAGGAGGAGGGAGGAGGGGAGGAGGAGGAGGAGGAGAGAGGAGGAGGAGGAGGGAGGAGGAGGGGGGGCGGGAGGGGGAGGAGGCAGAGGGGGGCGGCCGGACACCCGATCCACTTTCGACGCTTCCTGCTTCATGTTTCTGCCTACGTCTTCCGACCGATGGGGTACCCTGGTGCTCGCAGGCATGCTGTGGCGCTTGTGGGCCGCCCCCCTCCTCCTCTCCTCCTCCTCTCCTCCTCCTCCTCCTCCTCCTCCTATCCTCTTCCTCACTCCCTCCTCCTCCTCTCCTCCTCCTCCTCCTCCTCCTCCTCCTCCTCCTCCTCCCCGCTACCGGCGGGGAACCAAAGAGCAGCCTGCCGTGGCTGCCCGTGCCCCCGTGGCCTCTGCGCGCCTCGTGCCTCCCCGTGCCGCGCGCGGCAGGACCGAGCTCCCCAAAAAGCGCGCAGCTGCGCCGGCGTGCGCCCACCGGAGCCCACGCGGGCCACGAGAGAGTGCGCGGCGCCAGCGTTCGCAGCGCGAGGGCGGCTGGAGCACTGGGGTCACCACCCACCAAACCACCCCAACCCAACCCGAAGGGTCAGATTTACCCTCGATTTCTAGTGGGGGGGGGGTCCGGGAACATCGAAAAAACACGTATGGAGCCCATACCCCCCCAACCCGAAATTCGGGTTTTCGGGTTGGGTTGGGGTGGTCTGGTAGGTAGTCATGGGGAGCGTGTGCATGGACGCGCATGTCATGTCCTCGTTGTTTTGCCCCTCGCCGCCGTCGTCGTCGGCCTCCCCAGACTCGGGCCGGGCGAAAGGGGGGGGAAAGGGGGGGGTACGAAATGTGCTGCGTGCAGCTGGTTTCGGCCCCACCAAGGGGCCCATTCCTCGATGCACAGTCGCCTCTGGCGCTGGGAGGTGCCGGGAAAATCAGCTACGTGAGCTGATTCTCAGACCCCCTCTCTGCTATCCCCCCCTTTCGCCCGGCCCGACAGGCCTCTGTCGTTCTGATTTTTCTCATGCGTGCGACCCGGTCTCAGCATCCGTGGGGCACCCTTTGGCTCCTGGCGAGCCGCCGCAGACCGACCTGCGGGACCAGCCGCTCATCCCTGTGGGAGGGGGTCTCGGGTGCCGGTGTCCACGTCGAGAGCAAGTCGTTCGACGTGGAGATCTCCGTGTTCGAGCATGAATTCGACTGCAGAACTGATTGACCCCAGAATTGATTCCTCCCGCCGAGTATGCAATAAATGCGTAGTATCTTCGTCGATCTACGAACATCTTACGCATTTGTTTGGGATTCGACGAGAAAATCCTGTAGTCGATCTACTACTCGATGTGTGCTTCTCTTTTTGTGGCACCACCTCCCGCCGCGAGTGTCTGAGCGTGGGCGAGTTTCACCCTGATGGCGACTGTTTGAAAGTGCATTCGTGTGCGAGTCCTGCTCCCTGATGCGCGCCCCCTTGGGGCGCCCAAGCTTGACACATCGCGTGCAGGGGCGGCCTAGCCGACCTATAGCAAGCCTTCCCCTTCCGTGATGTCCCCCTCCGCGCCGGTTTCGGCACACGCCTCACACGACTCGTGGCCCGTGGTGAGCCCCGCTCACCTTTCAGTTAGGTGGCGACATCCGAACCCTACTCTGGGTTTCTTCATAAGCGTGTGGGGTACCCCCCCCGACGGGGGTCAACCTCGCCTCGTCGTCGCGCCGCGACGGGGGTTGGAGCGCCTTCGGCGCGCGGTGGCTGCCCGCGACGGGGTTCGATGTGGGGCTGTCGGCGGGGGTGACGCCCCCCCGACGCTTATCAAGAGCCCAATTCTTTTTGCTTGGGGCACGACGGGCGTCATGCCCCCCCCTCCCCCGCCCCCCCCCTATGACGTAAGGCTCCCCCCCAAGTGCGCTCTGGGCACTGCCGCCGTGCGCATTGGGATCCGCGTAGGTGTCCGCGTAGGAATCCACATAGGAGTCTGGTCCGCAGTCGTCGTCGTCGTCGTCGTCGTCGTCGTCGTCGTCGTCGTCGTCGTCGTCGTCGTCGTCCTCGTCGTCGTCGTCGTCGTCGTCGTCGTCGTCGTCGTCGTCGTCGTAATCGTCGTCGTCGTCGTCGTGGCTCGTGGCTCGTCGCTCGTCGCTTATCGTCGTCGTGCGCGCGGACGCGGCTGGAGCCTGTTTTTTTTATCCCGGGCCGATGATGGCAATCATGTTTGGGGGGTGGACGGGGGTCGATGACGTCACGTTTCGCGCTGGCGGCGTTTGGGAATACTTATGAATGACGGAGGACGTGTATCACCATCATGTAGGTAACGATCTGCACCACAACGCCTGTGTACACCACAGTACTTGCGTGCATCACGGCTCCTGTGTACACCACACCACCTATGTACACCAGTTCTGCCGCGTGCAACACAGTGTCAGTTTGTGCCACTGTGCCTGCGGGCACAATATCTCTTGTGTACGCCACAGCGCCTGCGTACACCACCAGCCGCATGCAAAACGGCACCAGTGTACACCACAATGCCTGCGTGCATTGCAGTGCTTGTGTGCACCACGGCGCCTGTGTGCACCACATCAACCGTGTGCAACACAGCACCACTGTCGTATATTTACTGTTAGATTCCATATGAAACAAAACAAAGGGATTCTTATGGACAAAAAGGAGCGCCACTGGAATCTACGAATCCACCCAGGTCCGCCCGCATCAATCTAACTCCTCCCATTTGCGTCCTGGAGGCTCTAGGTAAAATGGCCGTCCGAGAACCAAGTGGGCCGATTCAATGGACCATTCTGCGGTGCACGCTGAGATGCGCCCGTGCGCTGTAGCGTCAACCCGCACGACAGGGGGTAAGAAGGAGGAGGATGAGGAGGGGGAGGAGGTGGAGGTGGAGGAGGAGGGAGGAGGGAACAACGTCGCTTCGATTATCGTAACTCTCATGCTCCTTCTACCTTTCCTATGCACGCAGGCGGTGTGGTATACACCAGCGCTGCGTTGCACGCGGATGCTGTGGTGTAGACAGGCGCTGTGGCGTGCACAGGCGCTGCGGTGCACGCAAGCATTGTAGTGTACAAAAGCGTTGTGTTGCACATGGTTGCTGCGGTGTACACATGTACACTTGGCGCTGTAGTGTACGCAAGCACTGTGGTGTACACAGGCGGTGCGTTGCACACGGTTGTTGCGGTGTACGCCTGCGCCGTGGTGTACACGCGCGTTGGGGTGCACGCGAGTGTTGTGGTGTACACAGGCGCGGTGGGGCAGATCGCCACCTACATGCTGCTCGCGTCGTCGTCGTCGTCGTCGTCGTCGTCGTCGTCGTCGTCGGCGCTCGTCGCTCGTCGCGTCGTGCGCGCGGGCGCGGCTGTGGTGCCGGAGCCACACGGCGGGGGGGGGGGCGTTACGACCCCCCCCCGCCCCCCCCCATGACGCCCGTCATCGCCGAACATGGAAAAACGTGCTCTAAGAAACTCGGAATACCCCCCCAGAAGCCTGAAAGGCAAGGATGACGTCACGGAAGAGGATGGTCTGCTAGGGGTCGGTTCGGCCCCGCTCGAAGCATGCGGCCCCGGGAACCGCGCGCCCCCCTCACACTTTGAGAGCGGACGGGTCCGTGGAGTGCTTCCTCAGGTGGCTCCCCTTTGTGGTGCCTCCTCCTCCTCCTCCTCCTCCTCCTCCTGCTCTCCTCTGCTGCTCCTCCTCCTCCTTCTCCTCTGGGGACTCCCCCTTGTGGTGCCCCTCCTCCCCTCCTTCTCTTCCTCCCTCTCCTCCTCCTCCTCCCCTCCTCCTCCTCCTCATACTCCTCCTCCTCCTCCGCCCTGCCTCTTCTCCTCCTCCTCCTCCTCCTCCTCCTCCTCCTCCTCCTCCCCTCCCCCTCCCGCTCCCCCTCCCCCTCCTCTCCCTCCTCTTCTTCCTACTCCTCCTCCTCCGTAGCGGGGAGCATGCTGTCCTGAAAAGGGGCGTCTACTTTCTAACATCGGTGAGCTGCTCGAGACATTCCCACGATCTGAAAGCGAGCCAGAACATGCAGCATCCCCCTCTGGTGGCCTACCTCGAGGTGCCCAGGTGCTATGCCGGCTGCAACGTTGTGATCATGTGGTCCTGAAGAGAGGCGCGTCTGCTTCCTTTTCCAGGGAGGCCACGCGAGACATCCCCACCATCTCAGCGCGAACCGGCCCGTGGAACACCCTCTGGCGGCCCCCCTTGGGGTGCCCACGGAAGAGACGCGTCCACTTGTCGAAACAGGCGCACCACCCGCGACATTCCCGCAGTTCTTTTCTTGGGCAGGGGGAGGTTCATCCAGCGCAGGGCCAGGGGGGGAGGGGAGAGGGGAGGATGGAGAGATGAAAGGAGACTTCCTTCCTCCTTTCTCCACCTCCTCCTTACTCCCTCAAGGTCCCCAGAGGGTCCCTAGAGGATCCCGGAGGTCTCTGGATGCCTCCAGAAAGTTTAGGGGGCATACCGATGTCCAGAAAAGTAAGAAAGCGCCCCAAAAGACTGAGCATCTCGATCTCCGCCCTTCATCCTCCTTCGACTTCCGCCTCCTCCCCCCTCCGCCCGTACAGTCCACTCTGGCCGAGGGCTCCGCTCCTCCCAGCCCGAGCCGCCCCAGAAGCCCGAGTCCGGAATTTGTACAGATCTGGCCCCCGATACCCGGGGATTCTGGGAGGCGGTGGATTCTCTGGGTTTCTCAATAAGGGGGGGACCCCCCCGACGGGGGTCAACCTCACCTCGTCGTCGCGCCGCGACGGGGGTCGGAACGCCTTCGGCCTGCGGTGGCTGCCCGCGACGGGGGGGGGGGGCTGTCGGCGGGGGTGACGCCCCCCCGACGCTAGATTACTCCAGATTTCGTAATACAAGGGAGGGGGTCTGGACCCTCCAAGACAAGCCATTTCAGACCTCCCCCGTGGGAGAACCCTCCAAAACATCGTCCCCAGACCTCCCAGGCCCTCCAAGATAGCCTGGAAGAGACCCCCCCCCGAAATGAGAACCCCTTCCATTATTAGGAAATCTGGAGTAAGAATCTCGGAGTATGGATATCTCATGTGTGGACCCTGGGGGCCCTGAGAATAGTCCAAATCCACCGTCACCCGGGAGCCACGGAACTTCGGCTCCCAGGGCGGTGCATAGGCACGGCGGGTTCTCGCCGCGCGGACGCGGCCTTGGACCCCCAGCGCGGGCGTGCCGGGTGGAACGCCGCCGGTCTTCCGGTGGGCCGACGCCGAACGATCGTCGCTATCGGAATGCCTCGACCGTTCAAGGCTGAACGACCAACTCCGTGTCAGGCGCCAGTGCCCAGGTTGTCGCGATACGAACCTGCCGTGCGGTCAAGACGCTGCATCAAGGATGCGTTCGGGTTCGGGCTCGCGGTTCCACAGGTCTGTCCATCGGCTCTTCCTTTTTGGCGCTCCCGGCGCACCCAGGCGACTTTGGGGCCAGTAACGGCCTCACTCCTTCTGTTTATGAGAACAGCTTGACCGCTCAAGTTCCGGACTCGCAGGACGCCCACCGCCTCCAGCTATGGCCCGCTCCCGCGCCCACCTCGCGGCCGCCGCCGTCCTGGCGCTCGGCCTCGCGTCCGCCCGCTCGTTGCTCTTCGTGGTGTCGGCGCGGCCCACGGTCGCGAGGCGCTCGGCGGTGGCCCTCCGCGCGAAGGTCCCGGATGCTCCGACGTCGCGTCGTGGCTTTTTGCCAGGCGCCAGCGACGCTGAAGACGACGAAGGCAAAGTCTCGAAGAGGAGAACACGCCACAAACATGAGCTTTTGGCGCTCCGCGCGGGTTTCTTGGATCCGCGCTGGGCCCCCCCCGGCGGCGGCTCTGGCGCCGCCCCTGGCGCGCTCCGCGCGCCGAGGGAGGGGGGTCCCAGCGCGGATCCAAGGAGTCCGCGCGGAGCGCCAGAAGTTTGTGTCTGCGGCGTGCTCTCTTCTCCCGAATCGGGGGAGCGTAAGACCAGGGTTTGCCAGGACTCGGGTTCGCCATCGTTTTTTGACGACCGCGATTCGGATTTTGACGAGTAGGAGTTTCGTGGGATGTTTGCAGCGGGAGGCCTCGTCAAAATGCAGGCTCGGCCTCGTCATTTTTTTGACGACCTCGTCGGGGATTTCCGAGTCCCCTGTACCCGGGTCTTACGCCCCCCTGAAGTCGCTTCGGAGGTTTTCGTGTGCGCTCTTGGAGGCTCTCGTCGCCACCGCTGCACGCAGCTCGACAGCCTGGCCAGGCGAGGCCCCAGGAGGGGTCGCGGTTTGGCCCTCCGCGACGAAGGTCTGGAACCCGCAGACGATGTCGTTCGAGGACCACGGCTGGGAAGGGGATCGAAGGACTAGCGCCAGATGTAAGTCGGCCTTTCCCTCTACAGGGGGAATATTCAGAAATAGTAAAAAATAGCCCAGGGACTATTTTTTAAAAGTATGTTTGAACATTTCGGAGTCTTTTTTTTTGTGAATTTTTAATTTTCCGCCCCAGATCCCCCTGTAGGGAGGCCAGGCCCGACTTCACGCCAGCTGTCTGTTTCTCGACTTCGGCATCCCTTGAGGCGGCTGTCTCGGGCCCCAGGGCAGTGAAAAAGCGTGGTCCCGGGTGGAGGACTGGCCAGGAGGGACCCCGAGAGGGGGGTCCTGGGAGCGATCTGAGGGGGGCTCGGAGGGTCGAGGACGGAGGATCGAGACTTGGGTCGGGCCCCCTAGGCGGAGTTTGGACGAACAATCAAAAATACTCCAAACATACCCTTACAGTATTGAGAACAAACCTCGAAAAATCGTCCCCAGACTATTTTTGGACCGTTTTTGAATATTGTAATGGCCTCTTGCCAGTGCCGCCGATCCGGGGCGCTCCCGATGCGCGTGGGAACGGACGATGACGACGACGACGGCCGACGACAAGGTCAACGACGGACGATGATGACGACGACGTCCCTCCTCCCCCCGCTGCCCTCCCCGGTTTCTTGGACCCCCCCCCCCGCTTGAGCTCGACCCCCCCCTCCGTCCCCGCTCGAGCTTCCTCCTTGGACCCCCCCCTCCGCTTGAGTTCGGCCCTCCCCCCCGTCCTCGCTCGAGCTTCCCCCCCCCTCGATTCTTTGACTCCCCTCCTCCGCGCTGACCCCCCCCGCCCCCGCTTGAGCTCGACCCCAGCCTCCGTCCCCGCTCGAGCTTCCTCCTTGGGCCTCCCCCCCCGCTTGAGCCGACCCCCCCCCCGTCCTCGCCGAGCTCCCCCCCCCCCCCCCCCCCTCCGATTCTTGGACCGCCCCCCCCCCCCACGCCGCCCAGCGGCTTAACCCGCCTGCAGCTTGAACCATTATTCAATAAGGAACTATTATCCCCTCTTCCCATGATGGCGTCCGGGTGATGGCCGCGCACCCTCCGCGTACTGTTTTTTAACACACAGGATGCCCGGGAAATCCCGGGAAACGACTCTCGCTGAGGCGCCGGCGTCATTTTTTCCAAAATGCTGCTCTCGTTGAGGCGCCGGCCTCATTTCTGCTCCCGAATCGTTCCGAATCTTGCTCCCGCTGCAGCGTGGGCCTCATTTTCGGATCGGTGCTTGGCCTCCGTCGTTCAGGATGGCGTTCTCGCCCCAGCGCGGGCCTTTTTCTCGCGCGCCCATCCGCCCGACACCACCGCGCCGCACCGCCACCACCACCACCACCACCACCACCACCACCACCACCACCACCACCACAACCACCACCAGCACCACCACCACCACCACCACCACCACCATCACCACCACCACTCACCACCACCCACCACCACCACACCACCACCACCACCACCACAAACCACCACACAACCACCACCAGCACCAGCACAGTACACACACAACCACCAGCACACCACACACAACCACCACCAGCACCACCACACCACCATCACCACCCCACCACCACTACCACACACCACCACCACCACCACCACCACCACCACCACCACCACACACACCACCACCACCACCACCACCACCACCACCACACCATCACATCACCACCACCACCACCACCACACCACCACCACCACCACCACAACTCACCACCACCACACGCACGCACGCACGCACGCACGCACGCACGCAACGCACGCACGCACGCACACACGCACACACGCACGCACGCACGCACGCACGCACGCACGCACGCACGCACGCACGCACGCACGCACGCACGCACGCACGCACGCACGCACGCACGCACGCACGCACGCACGCACGCACGCACGCACGGACGCACGCACGCACGCACGCACGCACGCACGCACGCACGCACGCACGCACGCACGCACCCACGCACGCACGCACGCACGCACGCACGCACGCACGCACGCACGCACGCACGCACGCACGCACGCACGCACGCACGCACGCACGCACGCACGCGCACCACCACCCACTACGCCCGCGCGCGCGGAGCCACAGGTCCGCTACGACACGCGTCCGCGGATAGAGAAAATTAGCGCCATGGTAAGGGATGGGAGGGAGGGGTAGGACGTCAGATATGACGCGAGCGCACCTAGCTTGAGCTCGACCCCTCCCCTCGTTCCCCTCTCGAGTCCTCCTTGGACCCCCCCACCCGCTTGAGTTCGACCCCATCCCCGTCCTCGCCCGAGGTCCCCCCCGCGATTTCTTGGACCCCAACCCCCCCCGCCTGGAGCTCGACCCCCCCCCTTCCGTTCGGAACACCCCCCCTGTCCTCGTCGAGCTCCCCCCCCCTCTCGATTCTTAGACCCCCCTCCCCCCCCCTGCGCTGGACCCACCCCCCCCACGCTTGAGCTCGATTCCCCCTTCCGTCCCCGCTCGAGCTTACTCCTTGGACCCCCCCGCTGAGCTCGAACACTTCCACCGTCTCCCTCGCTCGAGCTCCCCCCTCGATTCTTGGACCCCCCCCCCCGCGCTGGAGCGTTCATTGAATTGCGTGGGTGATTCGCTGGATCCCGACCCCCCCCCCAGAGCGAAGCTTGAGCGAGCTCAAGCCCACGCTCTCAGAAACTTGCACGCCGGATCGGCGGATTCCCCCTGAAGAGGGACAGGCCCGACTCACATCGAGGCCTGAGCGGTTTCCGACTCTCTTCGGGGCCTCCGGTAGGCGTCCCCACCAGCCACGACTGGATGCACCTCGAACGCTTCTGACCTGAGCGCGCCCCGGTCCAGGGCACAGTTTTTGGGCCGATCTTGTGGGGGGGGGCGCTCCTAGTCGCCCAGGCGCCCACCACGTATACCCATGGGTCGTTGAAAGCCAATATGTTTGGAGTCCCGGATCCCAATCTACTTTCAGCGCCTTCCTACTTCAATGATCGAGTGGCTTCACCTTTTTCCGTCCTCTTTAGGGGGAGGGCGGACACCCGATCTACGTTCAACGCCTTCCTACTTCATGTTTCTGCCTACTCCTTCCGACCGATGGCTACCCGTGAACTTCGGATGTCCGAAACCGATGTCCATGTGGCCCTCTGGCCCCCTGCGGAGGAGACGGGCTCCGCGTGGGAGAATCCCACAGTGGAGGGCATGTCCAGCGCCATGGGCTTGTACTTCCCGGAGATGAAGCCAGAGAAGCCCAAGAAGGGATACTACTACAACCGGGCGTGGAAGAAGGTCGAGGCCAACGGGCCGAACGACCCCACCACGGCTGGGCTCCCGGGCTGGGACATCGAGACGAACATCGCGGGCGAGCGAAGCTTCGAGCAGGAGCAGACCTACGGCTGGAACATCGGCCCAGGCACCGACAACGTGGACGAGCGCCCCGTCAGGTAGGCTGCGCGGTCGCACGCGGCCACAGCTCCGCGAGCGCAGCGGGCGCGCACGCGCGCGCGGAGCCTGCTTTTTCAAGGATGCGTCCATCCTCGTCCTCCTCTCTTGCATCTTCCTCCGCTCGAGCAGGAAACATTTTCGACGCAGAGACCCACATCTGTGAACATGTTTCCTGGCGAGTTTCTTTTTCATGAGTGTGTGCCCGTACTAGTATGGGCGTGTCTGAGGAACATCCCCACAATCTGAGCGCGAAGAATCCCCCTCCTTGGGGTGCTCGAGTGCTATGCAAGCTACATCGCGGTGATCGTGCTGCCCTCAACTGAGACGCGTATACCTCCTGTAACAGGCGAACCTTTGAGGCGACCATTTGCTATGCCCTCTACTCGTACGAGCCCGTGAGCAAACCCTTGGCGGCCCCCCTTCGGAGTCCCCATCGCTATGGCCACGGGACTGAAAGCTGGAAGAGGAGTTGTCGGAGGCGCCAAACGAACGCCTCGCTCAAGATATCCCGCAGTGCGCTTACGGGCCCGCGAGGTGCCCCCCTGGCCCCTCTCGGGGTGCCCACGTGCCATGGCTGCCTCACTTCGTGGCGGTGGTCGTGGCCACGAAGGGAGAGGAGACGGGGGGGGGACAAACGAGCGTTTGGCTTGAGACGTCCCCACGAGCCCACGTGCGATGCGCCCGCTGCATCGCGGCCGTCGCGGGGGCAGTCGAGGAGAAGGAGCGGGTGGGCGCCCCCCCACATTCTGAGCGCGGGATACCCCCCCCCGGGGGGGGGGGGGCGGCAAGCGGGCGCTTCGCTGGAGACCTCCCCACATGCTGAGCGCGGTCGGGCCCGTGGTGTGCCCCCTGGTGGGTTCCCCCTGGGTTGCCGGAACTCCATGCGCCCGCCGCGTCGCCGAGGTCACAGGGCGCGGGCAGGAGAGGAGTCCGGGGGGGGGTCAAAGGGCGAGCGTCTCGCTCTCGAGGCGGCCTCCTCGCGACGTAGGCGCGACGGGGCCCGCGAGGTATACCCCGGGCGGGCTCGGCCTGGTCAGCCCAACTGCGCTGCCTGCATATCAGTTCGGGTGCCGTCGACCCGCAGAGTAAGGATAGGCATCCCTCGCAAGGTTACCCTTGCATCCTTGCTTCCTGTGTCCATCTTTGGACACTTTCGTTGGCCGCGCCCCGCTCGAAGCGCTTCGAAATGGGGGTCCAAGGCCCTTGCATCCTTATCGCGCATCCTCACTTACTCTACGGGTTGACTGTATGTGATGGTGTGAGTTCAGCGCACGAGGGTTCAGGGCATGCACGGGTCCGAGTCTGTGTTGGTCTGGGTATGAATGACAGAGGGTGGGTGAGTCTCAGCGTGGGTGAGGCAGGTTATAAGTGAGTCTGTGTGCGAGTGCGTCTGAGTACAATGATCTGGAGGTTGGTTGGTCTTAGTGGGCGAGCCTGAGTGTGACAGGGGAATGCGCTTGGATTTGCGTGTGAGTGGTCTGATTATCGGTGGGCCTGGGTATGCGCGGATCTAAGTATGAGTGAGAGTGAGTATGACTGGGCCAGGGCCTTCATGATCTGAGTGTGAATGGTCCTCACATGACTGAGGCTGGGTATGCTTGAGTGTGAGTGTGAATGTATCTGGGTGTGAGTGGGTCTGATTCGGATGCGTGAGTCTGCGTTTGAGCTACTGAGCGACACGTGAGATTTTGAGCGACGAGGATAGGGAGGGCAACGAGAAGGAAACACGGAATGATTGAGGGATCAGGCGGAGGCGTGACACCAATCTCATATATCTCCTTACACGACCACCCTTCGGTTGAGAAGGAAGTTCGGGGGGGGAGGAACCAACGTCTCATTCGATCGGTATCACTATCGATCTCACTATCGATCTCACTATCGGTCTCGCTCGATCGATCTCACTCGACCGATCTCACAATCGATCTCACTCGATCTATTTCATTCGATCGATCTCACAATCGATCTGACGATCGATCTCACAATCGATCTCACTATCGATCTCACAATCGATCTCACATTCGGTCTCACTATCGATCTCACTATCGATATCACAATCGATCTCACAATCAACGTCATCAGCATCATCAACATCATCGTCATCAACGTCATCATCATCATCATCATCATCATCATCATCATCATCATCATCATCATCATCATCATCATCATCATAATCATCGGGACACCATCATCATCACCATCACCTCATCACCGTCATTATCAACATCAACATCATCATCATCACCATCATCATCATCAGCATCATCACCATCGGGACACCATCATCGTCACCAGCATCATCATCAGCATCGTCATCATCAGGAAACCAGCATCATCATCATCATCATCATCATCATCATCATCATCATCGGAACACCATCATCAACCTCATCATCACCATCATCATGAACAACATCATGATCATCATCATCGGGACACCATCCTCATCAACAACATCATCATCATCAACATCATCATCATCATCATCGGGGCACCATCATCATCGTCACCATCAGCATCACCATCATCATCATCACCAGGACACCATCATCATCATCATCAACATCAGCATCATCATCACCATCATCGGGCCACCATCATCAAAACCATCATTATCACCTCATCATCATCTTCATCATCAACATCATCATCATTATCATCATCATCATCGGGACACCATCATCGTCATCATCATCAGCACCATCATCAACATCATTATCATCATCAACATCATCATCATCATCGGGACACCATCATCATCACCATCATCATCAACAGCATCATCATCATCAACCTCATCATCACCATCATCATCGGGACACCATCGTCATCATCATCATCATCATCATCATCATCTTCATCATCTCCATCATCATCTCATCATCATATCGTTATCATCAACAACATTAGGATCATCAACATCATCATCATCATCATCATCATCATCATCATCATTATCATCATCATCATCATCATCATAATCATCATCGGGACACCATCATCATCAGCAGCATCATCATTCATATCATCATCGGGGCACCATCATCACCACCTCCATCACCATGATCATCATCATCACCATCGTCAACATCATCATCATCATCATCATCCTCATGGGACACCATCATCATCACCACCATCACCATCAACATCACCATCACCATCACCATCTCCATCACCATCACCATCACCATCACCATCACCATCATCATCATCATCATCATCATCATCATCATCATCATCATCATCATCATCATCATCATCATCATCATCATCATCATCATCATCATCATCACGTCAACATCATCGACATCATCATCACCATTGTTATCGGGACACCAACGGGACACCGGCGGGACACCGGCGGGACACCGCGCGCCACCGGTTGCCAGAAGGGAATCATTTGGTCCGGCCGCGCCTCGGCCACAGCGGGACACCGGCGGGACACCGCGCGCCACCGGTTGCCGGAAGGGAATCATTTGGTCCGGCCGAGCCTCAGCCACAGGAGACTTTCCTTTCGCCCGCCCACGCAGCTTCGCCTCGCCCGCACGAACGGCACGCACGAACACGAAACCGAAATCGATTTCCCGGTAGGGGGGCTCTCCGTTCCACTTCGATCTCACCCCCTCACCTCCGATGTATCCATATCTGTGTATCCAGCGCAGGTACCCCCAATTGAGGTACATCTCATGTTCTGGCATTTCCCGCTGTGAGCGTCTGACTGAGAATGTCCTGGCCTGTGGCGACTGATCGTTCCTTGGCGGCTCCCCCTTGGGGTGCCCCAGTGTTATGCTTGCTACTTCGGGATGATGTTGGGACTGACTGGAGAGGAGCCGGCGGGGATGCCAGACGAGCGCCTCGCTCGAGATTCCCCACGATCTGGGCACGAACGGGTAATTTGACAAGGTCGGGAGTGCCAAACACTCGCCTCGCTCGAGACATCCGTGCAATCGGAGCGCGGACGGGCCTGTGAGCCATTCACCTGGCGGCTTGCCCAGAGGGTGGCCGAATGCTCATATGTCAGCTGCCTCGCGGAGACTACCTGGCTCTGAATAGAAATTTGCCCACTGGGTCAAAGAAACGCCTCGCTTGACACCCCCCCTGTGCACTATGAGCGCGGACGGGCCCGTGATATCCCCCTGGCGGTTCCCCTGGGGGGTGACCGAGTGTTCTACTTAGCACGCTGCGGTGACCATCTGGTGCTTTGGGCAGAGACTCGTCCACTGGGCCAAACGATCACAGTGCTTGCGATGTCTCCACAGTCAGAGCGCGAACGGGCCTGCTATACCCCCGCTCTGGCGGCTGCCCCTTGGTGTGACCGAGTGCTATACATGTTTTCTCGCGGTGACCATGGTGCTATGAACCGGCACCCGCGCACTGGGCCAAACGAATGCCTCGCTCGAGATATCCACATACCTTGAGCGCGAACGGGCTTGTGAGATACCCCCCCTGGCGGCTTCCTCTTGGGGTGGCCGAGCGCCATGCCAGCAGCATCGCGGAGACCACCTGGCTCTGAACAAACATTCGTCCACTGGGTCAAACAAGCGCCTCGCTCGAGACGCGCTGCACTTTGAGCGAGGACAGGTCCGTGGTGTACCCCTGGCGGCTCTCTTTGGGGTGGCCGAGTGTTATGCCTACCGCGTTGTGGTGACCATGTAGGGCTCTGGGCAGAAACTCATCCACTGGGCCAAACGATCGCAATGCTTGCGATATCTACACAGTCTGAGCGCGAACGGGCTTGCTATACCCCCGCTCTGGCAGCTCCCCCTTGGTGTGACCATGATGCCTGCTTTGCCTGCTTTGCCTGCTTTCTAGCGGTGGCCATGATGCTGTGAACGGGGACCCGCCAATTGGACCAAACGAGTGCCTCGCTCGAGACATCGCCACACTTTGAGCGCTAGCGGGTCCGTGATGTATCCCCCCGGCGGCTTCCTCTTGGGGTGGCCAAGTGCCATCCCTGCTACATCGCGATGGTCATGGTGCTTGAGCTTCGTCCACGGCCAAGCGAGCGCATCGCTCCAGACATCCCCTCAAATTGATGGCGAGCGGGCCCGTGAAATACCCCATTGCGGCACCCTGTTGAGGTGCTTCCATCTCCCTCGGACATGTGTGTGCGCGAGGAATTCGAATTTTGAGCGAGTCTGGTTGTGAGTGAGCCTGAGCGCGACTGAATCTGATTGCGGGAGAGTCCGCGTTTGAGTGAGTCGGAGTGTAAGTGAGTCCGAGTGTGGTCGAGTCTGAGTGTGTACATATAAATATCTATACATGTAAGTTCCGATTATGCCTGGGCAGGCTATGATAGTATCTGAATGTGAGTTGTCTGAATGAGTCTGAGTGCGCGCGAGTCTGAGTGAGAGTAAATCTGAAGGTGAGTGAGCCTGGCGGTAAGTGAGCCTGGGTATGAGTGAGTGGGTGTGGGGAAGGAGGCGGGCAGGAGAAGGTGTTGGAGGCAGCACACCAATAACACACGAACCCCGTACTCAGGCTAAGGGTAGCACGAAGCCAATACTTGTGATGAGGCCCGTGCCCTGCCTGCTACATCGCGGTGATCAGTGGGGCTCTCAAAACAACCAATCCAGGGGCAGAACCAGCATTTCGCTTGGTACCTCTCACGACCTATCAGCGAACGGGCAAGTTTCTTGCCCCCTGGCGCCCTTCTTGGGGCCTTGGGGTGCCAAAGTGGGATGCCTGCTGCATCGCGGTGATCATGGGGCTCTGGCAGGACAGCAGCCGGAGGGGGGGCAGCCGAACGGTTTGCTCGAGACATCCCCGCAATCCGAGTGCGAACGGGCCAGTGTTACATTCCCTGGCGTCTTCCCCTTGGTGTGCCCAAATGTTATGCCTGCTGCATCGCGGTTGTCAATGGGCTATGGAAGGAAAGGAGCTGGCAATCAAGCGTTTCGCACGAGACGTGCCCACACTCTGGGCGCGAACTTGCAAGTGTAATGGTGGCTCCCGCTGAGGGCACCCAAGTGCTATTCCTGTTGCATCGCGGTGGCCATTGGGCTCTGGAGGGAGAGGAGTCGGGGGCCAAACGGGAGTCTTGCTAGAGATGTCCCCGCAATCTGAGCGCGACGGGGCAAGTGTAACACCCCGTGGCGGTTCCCCCGTGCCGTGCCCGGATGCTATGCCTGCTAAATCGCGGTTGTCATGGGGTGAGTAAGCAAAGAAGTTTTGGGGACCGAAACCAGCGTTCCCATTGAGACCCCACACGGCATGGACGCGGCGGCCCCCTTAGGGTGCCAAATTGAGATGCCTACTATATCGCGGTGGTCATGCGGCTTTGAAAAGACAGGCGCGTGGGGGAGACAAAGAACGTTCCGCTCGAGATATCACCGCAATCTGGGCGCGAACAGGCAAGTGTAACATCCTGGCGGCGCCTCCTTTGTGTGTCCAAGAGCTACGCGTGTAACGCCGCGGCGATCACTGGGCTCTGAAAGGAGAGGGGTCAGGGAGGGAGGGGGGGGGGAAGGAGCGCTTGGCTCTAGACATCCCCGCAATGTGAGCGCGAACGGGCAAGTGTAACACCCCCTGGCGGCGCCCTCTTGGGGTGTCGCGGTGAACATGCGGCCCTGCAAGGAGAGGAGTCCGGAGGGTCAAACGAACCCTTCGCAAGAGACATACCCGCAATTTGTGCGCGAACATGCAAGTGCAACACCACTTGGCGGCTCCCCCCTTGGGGTGCCCACATGCTATGCATGCTACATCGCGCTGGGCATGCTTGAGTCTGAGTGTGAGGAGCGACTATGAGTGGGTCTGGGTAGGAGTGGCGGAGTGTGGGTAAGTCTGTCTACCTGTGATCGAGTATGAATCTGAGTGAGTCAGATGATGAGTAAGTCTGAGTCTGAGTGGATGTGAATGCATCTGTGCTCTGAATACGCGCGAGTCTGAGTATGAGTGAACTTGAGTGTGAGAGAGACGGGACAATGCGGGAATGAGTGAGTGAGTTGGTGAGGGTGAGACGGAGGTGGCCCACGAATAGCAATATGTCGATTCTTCAGGCATTGGGAATACAAGGCCCCCTGGCAGCTTCCCTTTGTTGTTCCCAAGTGTTATGTCTCTTGCATCGCGATGATCACGCGGCCCTGAAGAAAGACGCATCTACCTCGTACCAGGCGGGCTGTTCGAGCCATCTCCACAATCTGAGCGTGAACCAGAACATGAAGCACCCCTTGGCGGCTCCTCCTCGGGGTTCTGACATGCTACGCCTCCTACATCACGGTGTGCATGCGGCCCTGTAAAGTGACAAGCCAATTTCCCGAGCCAGGCATATCCACAATTTGAGTTCGAGCGGGACGGTCTAATTCCCTGGAGGCTCTCCCTTGGGGTGCTCAAGTGCTGCGTCTGCCAGGTGTTATTCTAGTTTGAGTGTGAGCCAGTCTGAGTGGGGGAGGCTGAGTGCGAGTGAGAGTGTGGGTGGGCTGGAGGTGAGTCTGCATTTGAGTCAGTCTGAGTGTGTGTGTGTGTGAGAGAGAGAGTGTGTCTATGTGCCCGTAGAATTGCGTGTGAGTCCGAACGTAAGTAAGTCTGAGTGTGAGTGAGTCTGACTCCGAGTCCGAATGTGGGTCTGAATGCAATCTCGAGTCTGAGGACAGGGAGAGGGGGGCGATGGCTGGCGTGAGGGCGAGGCGGAGACATCCTGGCAAGCAGCAGTGACCCCACGCCTGGGATGCTGGGGGAAAAGCCGACGGCGGGCCTGCTCGGATGCAGAGCACTCCCCCGAGGCGACGCCCCCGCCCGCCCCCCGCACTCGCGCCCTTGCGGGCCCGTCCCCGGCCCGCCGGGCCCCCTTCCTCCGCCGGCCCGGCCCATGGGCTCCTGCCTTAAGTCGGGCCTGTCCCCCTACAGGGGGATTTTCGACGAAGAATAAAAAATACACCAAAAATAATCAAACAATAGTCTAAAAATAGTCTGGGGATTATGTTTGAGTATTGTTTGACCGTTTTTTTTTTTTTTTTTTTAAAAAATTTTCGTCGAAAAATCCTCTGTAGGTGGCACGCCCGACATAACCTTGCGTCTCCTCGCGCCCTTCCCGTGGGATCGCGCCAGCGCTGACGTACGTGGGGCGTCCCGTGCGCGAGCGCTCCAGCTGCACGCCCCCAGTTCCTCAAGAGTTTTTTTTTGATGTTTCGCACCCTCTTCGCCCAGCCAGCTCCACGACCCGGGGCCACGCCCTCGCATACAGAAATACGCCCCACGGGGGGTTTGTATACCGCACCCACGGACCAAGACCGTCGTCACCCCCCAGAGGGGCTTTTTTTTTTTTTTTTTTTTCTTTTTTTTTTTTTTTTTTTTTTTTTTTTTTTTTTTTTTTTTTTTTTTTCGTTTTTTAGTTTTTTATTTTTTTTTTTTTTTTTTGTCTTCTTTTTTTTTTGTTTTTTTTTTTGTTTTTTTTTATTTTTTTTTTTTTTTTTTTTTTTTTTTCTTTGTTTTTTTTTTTTTTTTTTTTTTTTTTTTTTTTTTTTTTTTTTTTTTTTGTTTTTTTTTTTTTTTTTTTTTTTTTTTTTTTTTTTTTTTTTTTTTTTTTTTTTTGTTTTTTTTTTTTTTTTTTTTTTTTTTAGGTTTTTTTTTTTTTTTTTTTTTTTTTTTTTTTTTTTTTTTTTTTTTTCTTTTTTATTTTGTGTATGGTCTAGAAATTCCTCGGGAGGACCAGTGGCCCCGTATTGACCGATCTTGAACGGAGGGTGTGCGGTATCGCAGAGCCGCGCTCCTTGAAGAGTGGTCGGTCAACGCTGCATCAGAAACCACAGCCGGCGTCGTCGCCAAGGAACTTGTCTTATTTATGTGGTTGACCGTGGCATGGGAGTGGACTTAGGAGGCCGTGGCCCCTGGGCCCCTCTCGTGCCGTGCGTCCCTCATGACTCCCCTGGGACTGCTCCCGGCTGTCCCGTCCGTGGCCATTCTGACTCAAGTCGCAGGGTGCCATCCCAACTGCCAATTACCTGCGGCCATGACCGTGCTGCTATGCGGCCCAGGCCTGATGGCACACTCCAGGTTCGACTGCGCTGCGCTCGGTCGGTTCCGCGTTTCGTCGTCGACCGCTGGAAAGTGCGGCCTCGGCGAGCCTGCAAAGGTCCACGTGGAGTGGAGCTCGCCGTACCCATCGCGCCCCGCCAGAGCCCTGCAGCACCTGCCGAACAAGGCCAACGTCGCGATGCCGGAGGGGCAGACCTCCCTGCGGCGTCGGGAGCGTCGAGACGCGTGTCAATGCAGATGGGGGTCAGCCAGGGCGCCGGGCGATCCTGCAGGGAGGAGGAGGAGGAGGAGGAGGAGGAAGGAGGAGGAGGAGGAGTAGAGGAGGAGGAGGGATGGAGGAGGAGGAGGAGGAGGAGGGAGGAGGTAGGAGGAGGAGGAGGAGGAGGAGGCCTGCAGGATCCTGCAGGGCCAGGGGCCGCGTCGACCCGGGCTCTCTGGGGGATGCAGGATCCCGCCGGGCCCGGGTGCAGGGCCCCGCGCGCGGGCCGGGGCTCGGGCGCGGGGTCCCGCAGGCTCTTGCGCAGGCGCCGGCGAGGCCTGACTGACCCCGTCCCAGAGATCCGATGTCGTGATTTTTTCCCATACCTCCTCCTTCCTCCTTTCCCTCCTCCTCCTCTCTCTCCTCCCCTCTCCCCTCCTCCCTCCTCCTCCTCCCCCTCCTCTCCTCCTCTCCTCCTCCTCCTCTCCCCCCTAGATGGCCACCTTCATGGTTTATCCTGGCGGGGGTTCTTTGTTGAGGCGGGAGTGGGTCCCCCAGCGCGACTTCGGAGCACGGCGCGAGGCCCGCCCGCGCGGGACGCTGCGTCCGCGAGTGGGGGGGGGGAAACCATTGAGCCGCGAGCGAAGCGAAGCGAAGGCTCTTGCGCAGGCGTCGGGCGAGGCCTGAGCCCCGTGCCTGCATGGATCCGGGTCCGGCGATCCCCGAGAGGCGGCCGGATGGCTCATAGGCTGGCGGAGCTCGAGGAGCTCTCTGCGCCGCCCGCGGCCCGCGCGGGGGGGCCGCGCGCCGCGGGGTGCGGCGGCCGGGGCGCGGCCGGCGGCCGCCGCACCTCGGGCGGCCCGCCCGGCCTGGCGGCGCCGTGCCCGCCGGGCGCCGCTGCGGTGCAGGCGCGAGTCGGGCCTGTCCCTCTACAGGGGGGAGTCTTCAGAAGTAGTCCAGAACTCGTCTGGGGGCTATCTTTTTTGGGGGGGGATATTTTTGGGCATCTTTGGTGTATTTTTTTAAAGTAGTGTTCGCTGTTCGTCCAAAATCCCCCTGCAGGGGGACAGGCCCGACCTAACTGCAGGCCCCTGCGACCAGCGCAGCTGGCGGCTTCACCACGGTCATGTTGCGTCACGTGCCAGAGGCCGTCACCCAGGAGAGCCTCATCCTCGAGCTGGACAAGGCGGGCTTCGCCCTCGAGTACGACTTCGTGCACCTCCGCTCGGACCTGCGGAGCCGGTTCAGCTCTGACCGCGGCATGGCCTTCGTCAACTTCTTGACCCCTCAGTCAGCTGGCGCGTTCTCCCAGGCGTTCCACGGCGCCCGCCAGGTGGGTGGGCATGCGCTGGAGGCTGGCTGCCTCGAGGTGCTCCCGGCGAAGATCCAGGGCTTCGCGCTCAACGCGGCTCAGCACTACCCGTCCGCCAGCGCCGCTCGCCGTGGCTTCCGGAGGGCCCGCCCGGTCTTCCTGCCCAAGACGGCCGACGCGCACGCGCAGCTCTGGAGTCTCGCGTGCCAGCGCCCGCTGCAGCCCAGGGCCCTCGCCGACCGAGGCCAGCCGAGGCCGGCGGGAGTAGGGGCCTGAGCACACCCAGAGTTGATCTCTGGGGCCAATCTTTCGTTTAGTTTTCAATTTCTTCTTCATCTGCGGTCAAACGATTGGAGAGGAAAAGAGATGAGACCGCAGAGTCAAGAAGAAGAACTTGAAATAAAGCTTTTCACGAACGCAAGAGATCAATCACAGCGGTTTATCGACTGACCAGCTTGTTATTTACACGCGAATTGACGGAAAAGAAAGGAAATTGGCGTGTTGATGGCTGGAACGAACGACCGCTCATTTGTCCTGTTCATGGCTTCGTCTTCGCGCACGCTCTGGTGGCTCTCTTTTCGCCACTTTCGGAAACGTTGGCTGCATCCCTGCCTGCCCACCAGCGTGTCCTCGTGGCTGCCACCGGTGCCGTGAGCGTACACGTTACAGAAATGCGTACAACAACCAGGGACATGTGATGAAACGGGAACGATGCTTACCGAAAGCTTCCAGAAGTCTCCGCGGGTGGTCGAGCGAAGGCCAGCTGCGGGCCGCGACAGTCGGTGCGGGGTGAAGTGTTTGCCGCGCGCCGCGGCTTCGCTTGCGGCGGGGATTCACGGTGCAACCTCCGCGTGGGCACTGGACGAAGGCTCAACTTGTTTCTTTCAGAAACCGTGTTTTGGTCTTCTGCACTCTGCGAAGTAGCTGGCGCTGCAAGCCTTGAGCAATTTCTGCCCTCTTCCCGCCCCCATTCCCGCCTTTTCTCAAGTCTTCCACCTCCTTGTATTTTTTTTTGGTGGAAGGCGAATAGCGACACAATCAGAGAGATAATTCCGTGCCGCGCGTGCTCTGTACGTGCTTAGCTGGCCCGTGCAGGGCTTCCCGCGCGCCGCGGCGTAGCTTGCGGCGGGGATTCACCCTGCACCCTGCATGGAACCGTTTCTCGGTTTCTGCAGCCTGCGAAGTGGCTAGCGCTGCCAGCCTTGTGCAATTTCTGCTCCCTTCCCGCCCCCATTCTCGCCTCGTCTGAAGTCTTCCGCCTCCTTGTTTTTTTCGGGAGGTGAATGGCAGCGCAGTCAGAGAGATGATTCTGTGCCGCGCGTGCTCTGTACGTGGCCAGTTGCCCTACGTCGTCTGGCAGCGCGGAGGTCAGGGAGGTACATGGGGACCCTTGAGCCTATCATACTGAAGCAGGAGGGACAGGAGGGCGACCAGTACGCCGCAGCCGCGGTGGGGCTTCTCCGCTTTCGCAGCGCAGGCTTCTCTCGCTGCAGCATACTGGCGGCCGTTCAAGCCCTTCGGACTTCTCTTCCTGAAGGCAGGCAGCCGCTGCAAAGATCTGAGCGTGCAGGTCTCAGTACGATCTCTTGATGCCTCTTTCAAACACCCTGCGGGCGTGAACGGATGTGTGTCCTGCGCCCGCTTGGCCGCACACGGCCCCCCCCGCCTCTCGTGCACCTGCCTCCCTCCTCCCCCTCCTGCCCGCCGCTCTTGCTCGGAGGCGCCCTGACACGCCGATTGGCGAACAGGCCGTTTTCGGTTCGCGAGGGGGCGCCGCGGCCGTCATTCTTGCGGGTCCGGGTCCGTCGGTTTCGGTCCCGGGCCGTTCTCGCGAAGGGGAGGTTTACGGAAGGGAGGCGCGTCCGCCGCCGATCCACGGGCCCCCTCCTTTTCTCTCGGCCGGCGCTCGGCCCGCCCCGTCGGCCGGGCTGGGCGCTCGCAGCGGGCGCCTGCAGCCTCGAAGGGCTCTGCACACAGTTTCTCCGCGGCCAGGCGCCAGGCGGTCAGGCGGCCTGCTGGCCGACGGCCGGCCAAGCCGCAGTCCGAATTTTTGGAAGCAGCGCTAGTGCTGAAACAGTGGCGACGTCGAAGGCCCAGGGTGAAGTCCGAGGACGAGGGTTCGGTTCGGGGGCGACGAATGGGCGTGGCTGCGCAGGGGTGTGGTTTGCGATCGGCGCCGTGGGGGCCTGGGATTGCGCCGCTGTCCCCGCTGGGGCTTCCTCGGGGGCGCGGCGGAGAGCTCTATCGATCTAGGCCTCCTGGACGGGATCCGAGCAGATGGGGTCGGAGGATCGCGTCGCATCGCCGATGCATCGACGGTGCGGCTCGATGCGGAGCCCGATTTTCTCCGCGCCGGCGTCGCCGATGCACCGCCGACGTCGCCGGTGCATCACCAGTGCATCGCCAATGCATCGCCAATGCATCGCCGATGCATCGCCGATGTATCGGCGCTGCGGCGCGATCCTCCGACCCCATCTACTCCGACCTCATCTAGGAGGCCTCTAATCGAGGTCTCCGCCCGCCCCCCATGGGGCTCCCCAGGGTGCCGAATTCAAACAGCACCCTTTGCAGACCACACACTTCGGTGTCGCCGATCGGTGGCAAATCATGGGAGCCTGGTATCCCCTTGGAGTTCCGTTTTTAGGGTGCGTCAGCGTACGCCAGCATCCGGTAGTCGATGGAAAGCGTCGATTAGCGTCGACGCAGCGCCGATCAGCGTCGATCAGCGCCGGCCAGCGCCGACTCCGAGGTGGCATGGGAGGCTGCCGTGCGTTGTCGCCGAAAGTGTCGAGACAGTGGCAACGCAACAGGCCCAGTGCGGAGTCCGAGGACGAGGGTCAGGAGGGCGGAGGGGGAAAAACACACGGGCACGATTCCTCGGCGACTCCCCAGAAAACACACGGGAAGATCTGGGATCTGGGGGGAGGAAGAAGAGAAGAGCCCAGAAGACATGGGGAACTATGGGGACTCCTGTTCTCTGCAGTCGGGGCCCTGAAGAAGGAACCCTGTTGGTTGGGGAGGGGCTCCGCGTTCCTTAAGTGTTTCACAGCTTGCCTCAGGTGTTCCTTCTGTCTTCGATCGGACATCGAAGTTTCACTTATGGAAAACAGGGGCCTCGTTCCTCAGTTAGGGCTCCTTGGGTCAAGGCCCCGACTGTATGCCCATTTCTTTCTGTGTCCCAGGGCCCCTTTCCGAGCCCAAGCGCTTCCAGGCGCTCCCAAGTGCTTCCAAGCGCTCCCAGGCGCTCCCCAAGCGCCCCCCAAGCGCTCCCAGGCGCTCCCCAGCCGCTCGCAGGCGCTCCCAGGCGCTCCCAGGCGCTCCCAGGCGCTGCCAAGCGCTGCCAGGCGCTCCCAGGCGCTCCCAGGCGCTCCCCAGGGAGCAGCCGCGGGGGGGGGGGGGGCCGGGGGCCGTGCCCGCCGCGGGGCCCGCGGCGCCCGCGGCGCGCGCAACGCGCAGGTCGTGGGGGCACGGCCGTGCGAGCTCGCCCAGGCCCTGGGCCGGAGAGCGGCCGCTCGGGATCGCCCAGACGTGAGAGTGGCCCTTCGCCGGAGCGACCTTTGGGTGCGGGCACAGATGGGCCCCCAGATGTCGGGGCTGGACAGAACCCCCAACAGTGACACGTCGATTGGTGAATTGTCCGTTTTCGGTTCTCGCGAGGGCGCCGTGGCCGTTATTTTCCAGGTTTGCGCCCTCCAGATTTAGGTCTCAGGTCGTTTTCACTAAACCACGTTTTACTAAAGGGAGGTCTGTCCATCCCCGAAGATGGGCCCCCAGATGGCTGAAATAAGACAGGGCCAGGATCGGGATGAATCGCTCCAGAGCGTTCCGGAGCGCTCTCAGAGCGTTTCGGAACGCTCGGGAGCGGCCGCGGCGCCCAATACATCCTCCAAACCCGCCGCTTCTCAGAGATTTCGAGTTATCCCGATCCGATTTTGTCCCGATCGTCGCGTCGTTTTATGAAAACGAAGCGGTAGCAGCGGCTTGCGCGCCCAGGTCTGGTCTCCCCGCGGCCCCCAAAGAGCCGCGCACCGAAGGTCACTCTTACCCAGGGTCGCTCTTGCGTGTCGCCGACGGGAGGTGCCCTCGGGCGGAGGACTGGGGGTCAGGAGGGGAGAAGACACACAGACACGATCCATCGTCGATTCCCCAGAAGCTATGGGAAAATATGGGCAGCGGGGGGGAAGACAGAAACCCAGAAAATGTGGGAAGATATGTGGAATCTGTTTTAGTTGTGTGCATTTGTTTGTGTGTCCCAGGGCCCCTTCATAGGGGGGGCGGCAAAGAGGGGGGTGATGACTAGGGGGGGGGGATACCATGGCGTGGGCCATGATGTTTCCCCAGGTTTCGCGGCGACTCTTCTTGTTTCAGTGTGTCCCTGGCCCCCCCTTGGGCCGCGCACGTGCCGCCGGCCATGATTTGCACCCCCCCCCCTCTTGGGCGCCCCCCTCTTGGCCGCCCCCGAAGATCGCCGTGAGTCCAGGCCTCCCAGATGGGGTCGGAGCAGCCAGAAGTCGGAAACTGGAACATACAGTCGGCCCGGATTAGTAGGTCGACCCTACCAGCTCAAGGGTACCCTTGTGCCCTGTGCCTCGCGACACGTGCCTTCTTACACTCCTGTGGCGATGTGGCCCTCGGAAGGGTCTTGTGTCCTCTCGCGTGTCCTGTCCAATCAAGGCCGACTGTATACATTACCAGTGACGAGTGTTGTTTCAATCCCAGGACTTTTTTGAGGGTCGGGGACGACGTCGGGGTGGTGTGGTGTATACTTGTTTCCCCGTTTTCCCGTGGAAGCACAGAAAAATGTATACACCAGGATCCCGTATACACCAGGATCCGCTTTCCTGTGCGAGTTCCAGTGCGGGGCCGGAAAAAGCGTCGGTGTATAGAGTTCGGTTCCTTAAGAAGTGAGGAGCACGCAGACACAAAGAATCCTCGGTTCCAGCGAGAATATGGAGTGGCGGGGAGTGGGAGAGTAAGGAACAGATGGGGAGAGGGGGGAAGACGATCATCCAGGCAATATGGAAGATATTGGGAAACCAGGGAGCTGTGCCTATTTTTTTGTTGCGTGCCACGGGGCACCTTTTCAAGCAGGTGGGGTCGGAGGATCGCGCCGCATCGCAAACGCATCGGCGGTCTGCCTCGACGTGTAGCCAGATGCTCTCCACGCCGACGTCGCCGATGCATCGCCGACGTCGCTGGTGCATTGGCGAAGCATCGGCGATGCTTCGGCGGTGCATCGGCGATGCGGCGCGACCCTCCGGCCCCGTCTGCTCGGACTCCATCCAGGTGGCCTCCACACGGAGGACCGAGGGTCCGAGGGCCGAGGCAGCACGTCGACTAGCAGACCGTCACCCTCCCGGCACAAGGACCCTGGACAGCTTCGCGCAGATGCGCGGAGGGGGCCACGGCGGGGGGCCACGTGGGGCCACGGCTCTTCGGGGGCCTCCAGACCGCCTGCAGACCTCATTAGGGCTGCCTTCGTGCCTTCGTCGTCCTCGTCGTGTTTGTCCTCCCTGACCGTTTCCCCGGCCTGGCGCCTGCTGATCCTCATCGTCGTCATCATTGTTGAGCTGCTGCTTCTCCACGTGTTCGTTCTTTCGCAGCATTTTATTTCATCACCATTCGTACTTTTTCGGATGATGCTTCTAATTCTCAGCTTGGTGGACGAGCAGCAGCAGGAGCAAGAGGAGGTGGAACATGAGGCGGGATAATGAGGCCCCGCAGAAGGCGTATGACGAGGAACAAGAAGAGGATGAAGAGGGGGGGAGGATGAGGAGTGAACAGTTTTTTGGGATTCCGCCCTTAGTTGATTGCATGCCATTTTTTGTTTGAAGGCTTGGATTTTCGGTTCGTGCTCCCCCTCTGGGGCCCCTCTTGAGACCGTCTTGGGGCCCTCTGGGACAGTTTTTGGCGCCTCTTGGGCCGTCTTCGTGCCCTCTTGGGGGCCTCATTGGACGTCTTGGAGCGTCGGACGCTCGAAACGTGGAGAAACCCTGCAATTCTTTATCAACATCTAAGGACACTTGACTATTTTGGCCTCGTGGGCCCATCTGGGACGCCTCTTGGAGCTCTCTTGGGACGTCTTGGCGGCCTCTTGGGCCACCTTGGGCCCACCTTGGGTGGCAACGCCCGCTGACTGGTACGTTAGGTTGCCTGGAACGCGGGCAGGGCCACATTATCAACGCATCCAAAATTTGATGACTAGGCTCTGGCTCTACGTATATCTATTATACTTGTGGGACCACCAGGTTATTTCTGGAAACAGGGGCCCATACGAGATGCCATTGAAGATCTCGACTTGCAGGTCATGCGTATGCGATGCTGCCATTTCGGTCTGAAATGCGACCGTTCAAGTAAGTTACCTACCGGATCATACCTGCAAGTGGCAATTGCCTACACGCGTATCCCAACCAACATGTGGAGATGTATGTGTCAAACTGCATGGAAACTGCCTGGGACGGCGCCTTTCGGCGGCGAGCAAGAACACCAGCCCTGAGTCAAAAAGGAGGAAGTCTCGCGCGGGAGCGTTGCTGTTGTTGTGGTTGTTGTGGTTGTGGTTGTGGTTGTGGTTGTGGTTGTGGTTGTGGTTGTGGTTGTGGTTGTGGTTGTGGTTGTGGTTGTGGTTGTGGTTGTGGTTGTGGTTGTGGTTGTTGTTGTTGTTGTTGTTGTTGTTGTTGTTGTTGTTGTTGCTGTTGTTGTTGTTGTTGTTGTTGTTGTTGTTGTTGTTGCTGCTGCTGCTGCTGCTGCTGCTGCTGCTGCTGCTGCTGTTGTTGTTGTTGTTGTTGTTGTTGTTGTTGTTGTTGTTGAACTCTCATTCTTGAAGAATAATTATTGTTGATCACCCCACACCGGTGCACATTGATTTTTTCAATTGAAGTGCCCCCCCGGGGCTCGCACCTTGTTTTTTGTCAAAGAAAGTCTTCCTGCTCAAACTGGTCCCTTGCCCCCCGGACTACAACAACAACGGCTCCCGCCTGAGACGTCCTCACAATTTAGCCAGGACCCCCGCTCCCGCCCGAGACTTCCTCGCATTTTATTCAGGAATCGCGCTCTCGCTTGGGACTTCCTTACAATTCATTCACGAATCGCTCTCCCGGCGCTCTGGAGTTGCGCTTTCGCTGGAGACGTGCTTGCAATTTACTATAGAATAGCGCCCTTGCGTTGGACTTTCTTATAATTTACTCAAGCGCCGCGCTCCCGACACCCAGGCACCCAGGAGTCGCGCTCACGCCTAGGATTCCCTTACAGATTACGTAGGATCTCGCTGCCCTTCGTGACCCCGTTGCAGCCCTTCGTGACCCCCTCGCTTTGTTTCGTGGCCCCGCTGCAGCCCTTCGTGGCCCCCTCGCTGCCCTTCGTGGCCCCGTTGCAGCCCCTCGTGGCCTCCTCGCTGCCCTTCGTGGCCCGGCTGCAGCCCTTCGTGGCCCCCTCGCTTTGTTTCGTGGCCCCGTTGCAGCCCTTCGTGCCTTCGTGGCCCCGTCGCAGCCCTTCGTGGCCCCGTTGCAGCCCTTCGTGGCCCCCTCGCTGCCCTTCGTGGCCCCCTCGCTACCCTTCGTGGCCCCCTCGCTGCCCTTCGTGGCCCCATATATGTATGCCCTTCGTGGCCTCCGCTCGTTCGCGCCCGTGGTCTCATATGCATGCCCTTCGTGGCCCCCTCGCTACCCTTCGTGGCCCCGTTGCTGCCCTCAGTGGCCCCGTTCTTGCCCTCCGCGGCCCAATATACGTATGCCCTTCGTGGCGCCCGCTCGTTCGCGCCGGTTTTGGTCCCATGTGCCTGCCCTTCGTGGCCCCGCTGTCGCCGTGTGTGGCCCCCTCACTGTCCTACGTGGCCCAATTGCTACCTTCAGTGGCCCCATCGTTGCCTTCTGTGGCCTCGCATTATCTGCCTTTCGTGGCCCCCGCTCGTTCGCGCTCTTCGTGGCCCCATACGCATTCCCTTCGTGTCCCCGCTGTCGCCCTTCGTGGCCTACTTCGTGTCCTTCGTGGCCCTGCTGTCGTTCTCTCTCGCTCTCGCTTTCGCTCGTCGTCGTCGTCGCCGTCGCCGTCGACGTCGTCGTCGTCGTCCTCGTCGTGGTCGGTCCCCTGTCCGTCCCTCTTGGGGTCGGGTCGACGGTCCGCGGCCGCCCCGCCGATCAGCGCTGCCGCTGGCCAGGCCGACGGTCCGCGGCCGCCCCGCCGCTTGCCGGGCCCGGCCTGCAGGGAAGAAAGGTAATACCCCCCCAAGGGGGTTCGATCGAAAACGAAGAGGGCGGGTATCGAGGGTTTGGGAAATACGCGTTTTATTGGACGCTCGAGCGATAGGGCAACAGTCTTAAATGATTGTTGTTTGTTGTTGTTGTTTGTTGTTGTTGTTGTTGTTGAACATTATTCCTTCTAAAGAATATTATTGTTGGGACCCCTGGTGCGCGACCTCTGCGCCGCGCCTAGGCCGCAGCTACATTTTCATCATTTTTTCGCGAAAGCTTCAGAAAAGTGGATGAGCTCCGGATCCGGTTTTTTGTTGACGCTCGTTTTCCCTTGCAAAAAACAATAGAAAATGAAAATTCTTGTTTTTACTTGATCAAATTGCACGAATCCCTTGCAAAATTTTTCAAGAATCCTTTGCAAAAAATAAGTTAAAGTGGACATTCGCGCGCGCAAGACGAAATCCTTCCAAAAGCTTAGTGTTCGGAACGATTTTAACATACAAACATCAAAAAACCAATGGTTTTTCAACAAAAAAAATGTCAAAATTTCATCCCGCGCGCTCTTGCGGATTCGTAGGAAACCCAACACTTTTTAAAGATTTCTGGCAAACGGGCTTTTGCGAGCAACTTTTTCGAACTTCTGCGACAACGGTTGCGCACCTGCCAGGGCCATCATCCCTGTCAAATAATACCATGCGGGACACATTCGTTTTTTTCTTCGCGCGCGCACGCCGAAATCTCCAAAAACCATTGGGCTTCTTAAGAATTTTAGCACCGCGCATCATAAAAGCACCATCGAGACAACCATCGGGACAACCATATCCTCTCTCTCTTGTGTATTCCCACATCCCTCAGGAATTTGCCCTAAAGATGTGATCAACTATCTTGTGAGTACGTATAATGTGTATCATGTGTATCATGTACCATATGCATCATATGCAACAGATGTTCTGTGGAAGGCTTAACAACTTCTGTGGGTTTACAAGGCTTAACAACTTCTGTGGGTGTACGAACGTAGGCTTAACAACTTCTGTGGGTGTGTACTCCACGCCAGTGTAGTAGCCACGGTCGTCCGCAGGCCACGAAGTGAAGTGTCCGAACGTCATAGGGCGGGAAGCTGGGTGTGGGTGGTGGCGAAGAGTCGTGTGGATATTTGGTAGAGCTTGCACTGCCCCCCACAAAGTGGGGGTATTTGCTGGCGTCGCATGAAAACCCTGGCACTGGTGAGAACACTGAGCGTTCGGGTAAAGTGATTGTTGTTGTTGTTGTTGTTGTTGTTGTTATTGTTGTTGTTGTTGTTGTTGTTGTTGTTGTTGGGGGGCCGGTTTGGGTGGTCCTCCAAACCGCTCGAGCGTGAGCCTCATTTTCGATGAAAATGTAGCCGGCGCCTCGGCGAGAGCGCCAGAGCGCCTATAAGGGGTCCAATAATAATCATAACAGCTGTTTAGTAACTTACATTCAACAACAACGACAACGACAGCGACGACGACGACGATGACAACGACAACGGCAACAACAACACCAACACCAACACCACCAACAACAACAACAACGACAACACCACTAATAACAAAAACAACTACAACAACTATAACACCAACAGCAACAACCAGTTTAAGACAGTTGGTTTGTTTCTGCTCGCGTGCAGTTCAATACGTATATCCCAAACTCTCGGTACTCGCCCTCTTCGTCTTCGATCGTACCCACTTGGGGGTATGTCTTGCTGACATGCAACGTGTATTTCATGCAGCCCCTGCGGCAAAGGAGCTGCGGGGGAACCCCTTATGGGGCCACGAAACGCCTGTGGGATGTGCCGGAATGGATCCGAAGATGAGGGGGAGGAGGGGAGCAAGAGGATGAGGCGGAGGAGGAGGAGGAGGAGGAGGAGGAGGAGGAGGAGGAGGAGGAGGGGAGGAGGAGGAGAGAGGATTAGGAGGATTAGAGATTAGGAGGATTAGTATGGAGGGAGGAGGAGGAGGAGGAGGATGAGGAGGAGGAGGAGGAGGAGGAGGAGGAGCTAGGAGGGGAGGAGGAGTAGAGGAGGAGGAGGAGGAGGAGGAGGTAGGAGGAGGAGGAGGAGGAGGAGATGAGGAGGAGGAGGAGGAGGAGGAGGAGGAGGAGTAGAGGAGGAGGAGGAGGAGGAGGAGGTAGGAGGAGGGAAGGAGGAAGGAGGAGGAGGAGGAGAGGAGGAGGAGGAGGAGGAGGAGGAAAGATGAGGAGGAGGAGAGGAGGAGGAGGAGGAGGAGGAGGAGAGGAGGAGGAGGAGGAGGGAGAAGAAGAAGAAGAAGAAAAGAATAAGAAGAATAATAAGTATTAATAATAATAATAAAGAAAGAAAGAAGAATAAGAATAGAAAAGAATAAGAAGAATGAAAGAAAATACTATAATAATAATATAATAAAAGGAAGAATAATTAAGAATAATAACAATACGAATAAAGAAGAAGAATAAGACTACGAAAAAGATATAATAGAAGAAGAATAATAAGAATAATAAGAATAATAATAAGAAGACTAAGAATATAATAATAATAATAATAGTAAGAGAAGAATAAAAAAGACGAAAAAAATATAAGAAGAGGAATAGTAATAAGAATAATAATAAGAAGAATAAGAAGAAGAAAAAGAAGAGGAGGAGGAGGAGTAGGAGGAGGTGGAGGGGGGGAGGAAGAGGAAGAGTCGGGAGAGGAGGAGGAAGGCGTGTAGCGCGGCGCTGCGCATTCAAAACGAAGACCCCACACGCAGTTGTTTTCCGTCGCAGCGCGGCAGAGGCAATCCGCACGCGCGCTCAAGTTGTCCCGGGCACGAAACACGAAGTGTCCGGCGGCGCGAGGGGGAGAGGAAGGCGGAAGGTGGCCGCCGGGGGGGGGAAGGAGGGGAGGCACTCGCACGTCGGCAAAAGCGGCCCAGGTGGCCGGCCGCTGCTGAGGGAGGCTTCCTGCCAGTGGACGTGGAGCGGCATCGGTGGAGGAGGAGGAGGAGGAGGAGGAGGAGGAGGAGGAGGAGGAGGAGGAGGAGGAGGA